TTAGTTTTTTCGACCTTTGTTATTAATAAAATGTATCCACCTTTTCTAGGAATCTAAACAAAAATGATATTTGACATTGATCCGTTTAATATGTTTTAGCATTTTGCGTGTATTTAATATTTTCTTTATGTTATGCGAAAGAGTAAAAACTGTGGCAACTATAAAATAAATTTAAGTCGTTATATAAACAAACCCTATTCAATCACTTTTAAAAGACACTGCGATGCAAGTATAAAACAAAAAATGTGGTGTGTTTACTTTTATGGTTTCAAAAAGATGGAACGAAGGACTGACAGATTACGAGCCCGCTTATATTATAGATATTGCTTTTGCCGCTAAGACATGTTAAAGAGATGGGACTACACATTATTTGGAATAAAACACATACCATGATAATTTAAATCATAACGATGTTTTTTTAAGGAGGTTCAGGTGGAACTTTATGTTGATTCGTTGGGATGGGGCGGGTGGATCCAGGAGTTTGTAATTTCGTGTAGCTATAGAATTGTTGTCTTCGAATTTGTTTATTCCATTTTTTATAGAAAAAATAATACATTTCTGCCAATTTGGATTGGTGTCTATTGTAAAATCTCTACTGGTAATATTCTGTTTTTGTGAACGTCACAGCTTGGCTAGCTATCCCTTTGCTCAAGCTGAACTTCACCTTAGCCAGTAACCAAGTGATTATCCTGGCAGCCGTTAGCATGCTGTTGGTCAATCTGGCCCACATCCCTTACAGTTTTCTACACGTGAGCACAAAGCTACAACACACAGGTAAGCTCTTAGATACATCCTAGGGGAGGTCGGCGTGGTCGGGTCAGTAAAGCTTTTGGTTGCTCAATCGAAAAGTCCGGGCTCAAAACCCCGGGCAGATGAGGCTTGAGAGCTGGAGGCAACAACTCTTCTAGGAGACGACACCCAAATATCTAATAATAGCTGCCTTGTAGTTTGTTCTTGTTTGGACTAAGGCTATGGAAGCAGATCCTAAAAGAAAAGCAGGCTGAAATTGAAGTAAACGGCATATATGGTGCATAACAAGTTGACACGAAATTCTTAATTGGGTTGGATTGGAAATCCCTTCCAACATTACAATTAAGAACGAAATCGTAGAAGAAGATACACTCTACAGCCTTTCAAATCATAAATGTAAAGGAAGACTATTAAATTCACTATACAGCCTTTATTAATAATGAACGAAGTACGTAATTTAGATTTAGTTCATTAATCTTCGTCTTGAGTTAAGTACAGCTTAGTTTCAGGAAGTTTCTTTGAGTATTTTTGGTGTTCATCAGTATGACGGACCAATACTAAATCACTTCTACTGTATCCATTTACCATAACACTACGTGACAAATCAATCACTACAACAGTCAAAAACTGACACCATTATTTGTGTTTACTTTACAGGGGATGCGAAAAGGTTCTGGAAAAGGAAAGAAGCCAACTCCACATGGAAATCCTCTTTGATTGTTTACTTTGTCAAATCTTTATCCACCTTAGTGGCATCAGCTGTGGTCTTCTCCAACCAAACACCCTACACCAACACCTTAAGCAGCTTTGATCTCAAATTCGACAGGAGCACCATCTCGACTGTTTTTAACAACCAGTTCTACATCCATATCTTAGCTGGATGCGGCTGCTATATTTTTTTTCTGTTGGCGTGTCGAGCCAATTTGAAACGGACATGTCTCGGACTCCCTCTGGTTTTGTCCTTCCCCTGCGCCATCGTATTGGTCAGCGTCCATCAAGTGTGCCAGCCGTTTGCACTGCTGAAAAATATCTGTGATGCGCGTGCGTTAAACCTCGCGTGGGATATACCGATACAGATAGGCTTTTGTGTGTGTTATATCGTGGTAGCTGTAAAAGGGTTGCGGACGGATGTCGACACGTCTTTGCAGGATGAGAAACAGGCACGTGTACCTTGTGTAATTTATTTATGTGGACTTATTCTTGGATCTTGTCCAGATAAGCCCCGCCGCTAATGCAAAAAGTGCATAGACCAAAAGTTAAGCCTGTCATTGTTTCCCAGCCCACACGAAACATTGACTTAGTTATGATGTCTAGACATTTGAATATTTAACCGCACGCCATAAAAATAACTCATTTTTCCGCCTTTAGGGTTAGGGTTAGGCTTATGGTTATGATTAGGGTAAGGGTTAGAGTTAGGGGTTAGGGTTAGGGTTAGGGTTAGATTGAGGTCTAGGTTTAGGGTTAGGGTTAGAGTTAGGGTTAGGGTTAGGGTTAGGGTTAGGGTTAGGGTTAGGGTTAGGGTTAGGGTTAGAGTTAGGTTTGGGTTAAGGTCATGTTTAGGGTTGGGTTAGGGTTAAAAACTAAAAGTACAAGTACCATATCCTTTATTTATAATCTATTGGTCTGGATGGCGGAAGTTAACATTTTGGTGGCGCTTATCTAGACAAGATCTTCATTTTCATTTTTTTTTTCTATTTGCTTCAAATATCCTTACTCTGTGGTTCAAGTGACACCACCCCCAGCCCCACCCACACCCTAGTTTGGTCCATACGTTGTGTTGACATACAACAAGAGAGAGAGAGAGTAGATCTTCTGGTGGAAACAAACGTGTTTAACAACTGACAACAGGGGCGTGGATTACACATCCTATGGGCGTTAGACCGGCTTAAGTGCTTTTCTCGAGAAAGAGAGAGCTTCAGAAAATGTATCCAGGTTTTTTAAACAGATAAATATATCATGTCTTAGATAACATTGTAACGTGCATATTCACGACTTCAAAAAGTTACAAATGATACATGTGACCAAAATTAACAGGTCGTATCGAATATATGCTTTTGGTAACATTAATACCCGTACTTTCAAACTAACCTAAGTCCTTAACAGAGCACTAAAATGCCCCGAACTTTAACCATTATCACACCAAGAGCGATGTCGATAAAAACTCTTAGATATGATGCCACATTCATTGTTTATTTTAGACATGTTTTTTTTCCGGCCGGTGATGGGGGGGGGGCACTTAAAACTTTCAGAAGATGGGGGGGGCGCACTTAATCTTCCAGTGGGTGGGGAGGGGTTGGACACTGGTCAAAGTATATTTTTATAAATAAATGAAGCTGTCTTTTAATTCGCTGGGAAGGGGTAGGTTCCCCCGAAGAGATGCCTGAAAGATACTCTGGCCAAATTGTCCAAAAAATGTGACATATTTTTGAATGTAGCCTAATCTATAATCATATTTAAGCCTTACAAGAATTTTAAAAATAACCAGTGTTCGATTACTTCAGATGCTTACGGTACCCGGCTACGGCAGTGTCTTGTTAGAGAGCTCACTCCTGGTGCTGACCTCTGATATCAAAACTGTTGAAGAGACCGCCAAAGCAGAAAGGGTGTTCATCTGTACGACAATGTACCGTGAAGTAAGTGGCTTTCTCGCCTTCAAAACTATGTCTAAGACTGTTTGTATTAGTAACATTGTAACGGGAAGGGGATGGGTATTTTAGTACTAGTTTTGTTATTATTTCTATTTTTTTACAAAACAGAATTTTTTGTTCTAATCGAAAATGGTGTCGCTCATAAAATCTAAGGGTATTCAATACAGATATTCATGGGGTAGATGAAGTAGAGTGCATAGGTTTCTTGACCTCGGCAAATGAAGGGTTAGGTCAGCAGAATGCCTGGCCGCCTGTACGTTCCCCAACATCAGTCAGGTACCCATCAGAGCTGGGGCGTGGACTCAGGACCGTCTTACGGTCCCTAGTTCGAACTCGGGGCCTTCGGACTAGCAGTTTAGCGCTTTAGCGCTAGGCCACGTCGTACCAGTTCTATAAATAACGGTGCATTATCCTATATTTTAAAAAATCCTTTATTTTTTGCAAATATAAAAGATTTTATAAACGTCTTTTTATTTAGTTCAAAATCTAAATTAACTCTTTTTTTAATTCGAATTTCTCAAATTATGTCGAAACTTGAACCCAGCAAAACAACAATCGGATTCAAATCGCTAATTAACCAAAAATCGTATCCCATCCAGAGCGAGAACGAGATGAGGGACTACCTTCAGTCACTGGCCGAGCTAAGCAGCTCCCTCAAGCCTGCTGACCCCGAGTTTGAGGCGCACATTTTCTTTGACGATGCCGTGTCTAAAGGCTACATCACGGAGTATGCTGTCAGACTGTTTGCCGTCGCTAGAGAGGTTATGAGTGAGTTCGAAATGTCTTCTGTTGTTGATGTTGTTTTTGTTGTTGAAGTGGTGAGTGTTATAGAGTTACTCGCCCTTGATTTCCTCGACGAAATAGTAAAAGGGTGGTGATTCGCAGAAAATTCGTGAATGCATATATCTGAAAAGTCCTAAAAAATATAACGATTACCTGAAATATCACGAATTACCGCAAAGATTATCACGCATTGCTTGAAATTATCACACATTGTCTGAAATAATCACAAAGAACCAAAATATTTCACGGACTACCGAAAATTATTAGAAATCGTCTGAAAATACTTGTATCTTGAATAGCCTGCAAATAATCACGCACTGTCAGAAAGTACAACGAACGTCTGAAAACTATTACCAATGGCCTGCGATCACCACCAATGTCTGAGAGACATGATATTACGCAACTGTGTCTGTTTTCAAGACAACCTCTCTCTCTCTCTCTCTCTAACTCTCTCTCTCTCTCTCTCTCTCTCACACACACACACACTCTCTTTCTATTTCATAAAGGTATTCACAAGATGCACAACAATTTTCAAAATTATGCAACAAAATATATCCAGAACTTTTGTCATAAAACTGTCTCTATTCCATGTCTCTCATTTTAATATCCCCTCTCACTCTTTATCTTCCTCTCTGTCTTCCTGTTTGGCTCCCTCTGCTAACAATTTTTTTTCTCTTCGCGAAAATTCAAAAAGTTGTAAATCAATTACTGCCATTTTTTACTCCCTCAGATGTTTCAAGTTCCTATAAAGAGATGCCCTACGGCCAACAGCATACATTCTTAAACATTTCAAAACAGCCACAGTGCAACAACGCCAAGTCCATACCCTTGACCTTTCACCTCAAAGACAACTCCAAGGTACAAATCCTCTCAATGGATTTCACAGTTCTTGTACTCTCTTCAACTCTCCATGGTTATTGGTTTTACAAGCTTTTAGTTAACTCACTTCTTCTGTCGACAGACTGTCGACAGTCTGTAGACAGTTTGTCGTCAGTCTAGGTCGAAACGCCGGAGCGAAATTGCAGGCACTTCTACATGACAGATACGGTTCGTAATTGGTACGTGGGTCAAGACATGAAGACAATGCATTGTGACATAATATTTGACTTAATTGGATGCCTAATTAATTTTTTATGAATTATTTAAAATGTTGACCAAATTAGTAGGCATCTCTATCCAACCAATCCAAACGCGTCATCACATTCAATAGTGCGTCATCACGTTCAATAGTGCGCAATTATTTTTAGGCATGAAACTCTATTGTAAATAAAAGCATGTAAAGTACTAAAAAAATTTCATAAAAAACGTTTTAATAACAAGCTTTTATGTAAAAATGCACTGCAAATGAGAAAATAAATTATAGACTACTATTTAAATAACTATAAAGAAAAGCGTGGGTCACTTCCTAAATATTAGTAAAGGGATCCAGTAGATGCTAAAGTGAACAACGCTTTTCTTTATAGTTATTTAAATAGTAGTTTATCATATATTTTCTCCGTTTTAGTGCATTATTACATAAAACCTTGTTATTCAAACGTTTTTTTAATTAAATTTTTACAAGCTTTTATTTAACTCACTTCATCTGTCTGTCGTAAGTCGTCAGTCTGTCCGTCTAGATCAAAACTTCTAACTGACAGATACGGTTCGTAATTGGTGAAGACATGAAGACAATGCAACACGACATTAAATTTGACTTAATTGGTTGCCTAATTAATATTTTATGAATTAGTTGAAATTTGTTCAAATTATTAGGCCTTCTCATCAAACTATTCCGCGCTATTAGACACGCGTCATCACGTTCTATAGGGCGTCATCACGTTCAATAGGTGCGCAGTGGTTTTAAATCATGTAACTCTATTGTAAATTTAAATAAACCGGGAGCGATATCCCCTAAACTTTCTCGAATATTCTTATATTAAAAAATACAGGATGGGAATTCGGGAAATAGACATGAATTTTTATTCATTTTAAATACTGAAACTTTTAAAAATAAAATAAAATCTCGTAGAAAAAAGAATTGCACACCCGTGAACGCCATATAAAATGTGCATAATAGTGCGGAATATTATTAGTACTTTATAAATTTACATTCGTTTTTTGAGAAATCGGAAATATCGTAAATTACTACTTTCAATAAACGGAAATCACTCAAAATTTGATAGAAGGTAGAGAATTAGATCTTTTACTTATATGTGAAATTTCATTTATCTATCTGAAATAGTACTCAAATTACAGGCTTTTGAAAAATTCAAAGTAAAAATAATACCACTTCCGGTTATCGAAAATTGCTCAAAAGTTGACACGGATCTGCGTATTTTGATATAATACTTATATATGAAATTTTATCAACCTATTTGTAACGGTACTCAAGTTATCGTGTTTACACACACACACACACACGCACACACACACACACACAGACATATGGACGGAGATGCAAAGTCCAGTTTTTCCGACACAAAACGCCAAAATGTTTATATATTTGTATTTATAATTTTTGCCTGTTTAAAATAAGTCCTCTATACTCCGGATGTGATGAAGTACTGAGGTGTAAAACGGTGAAAACTGTCAACATTTCATGTTATTTTTGTGCACGATTACAAGACTTTCTCTATACTTCGTATATACGAAAAAGTAAAAAAAAACACGTAAAGTACTTTTAAAAATTTCATAAAATTGTTTTAATAACAAGCTTTTATGTAATATTGCACTAAAAGAATAAAATAAACTATAGACTACTATTTAAATAAATTTAAAGAAAAGCGTGAGTCTCTTTCTAAATATTAGTAAAGGTATCCAATAGATACTAAAGTAACCCACGCTTTTCTTTATAGTTATTTAAATAGTAGTTTACAATTTATTGTCTTTTTTGTGCATTGTTATTAAAACTTTTTTAATGAAATTTTTAGTGAAACAACTGTAGTCTTACCGGATTTCCCTTGCTGGAAATTCCTGTTATTTTTAAAAACCGAGTTTGCATTGACTTAAGTTATGGTCGGACATTTTTGAGTACATTAGTTTGATTGAAGTATCCAGGGACCTGTTATCCAGCAAACACACAGATGGTCAGCAATATTATATGATCCGAGATATTTGAATGAAAAGAGTTAAACTATTGCAAGAGGTATCTGAAAAGAGACTAAAAGTTAACGAATAAAGTACTTTTTTTAAGACTAGACATTCGATAGGACATGATGTAGGGTTCATCTGTTTCTTTGACCTCGGTAAATAAAGGAATAGTGTGGTCAGCGTATGCCCAGTCGCCCTTACTTTCCCTGATCAAAATCAATGATGTATGCACTCGGTGGCGTCTTAAGGGTTGAAGGCCGAGAACCGCGGTATTTAATTTAAAGTACATGTTGTTTATTGACGGTTATCTACCTTGTATTTGTGGGCGTGCCTCTACCTAGACATTATACGAGAGGTCCCGGACATCATCCTGGACGAGCCCCCACACTTGTTACACTCGGCTTCTTTCTATTTTATTTTTGGCTCGTTTGGGCCAGGTGTAATAATAATTTAAAAAATCCACTAAGTGAATATGTGACATTTAAGTATAATTTTCACCATGTATAAGAAAAACATTAACACAATGTAAAAAAAAGGACGGCTAGGTACACTGTATTGACCCTACACCACACTGCTTACACACTCCCTCGTTCACACACTTGTTTTCACGCTCCCACACCACGTCCAAGGGGAGGCCACTCTCACACACACTCTATCAGTGCCTACACATTTTCGTTTAGACATCTACGTCACAATGTAATGGTTAATGAGCCTAATCACACAAAAAAATAAGTCACTAAATTTTAGTTAGGAAACACACTCAGCCAAATTAAAAGTAAATTGCAAGATTAGTTAGAACATAAAAAAGATTTATAATATTTTATTAATGCGTCAGCCAAATATTATGTTAAAATTATGTTTTCTTCTCATCACCCTCGTTATAATGAATTTTTGCTCTCTTCATATACTACTAGTAAATAAGGGCATTATGTTACAGAGGGGTTGCACACTATGGGGGGGGGGGGGAGGTAATCAGTCCTTACGTAAATGTACAACACGGGACAAGGGTTGGGTTTAACAAATGGAAGTTAAGAATAGTATTTTGTATTTTCCAAAATTAAAAACAAAATAGAGAAAAACAATTTCAAATGTGTTATAATGTTGGTTATTTTCAAGGACGCGGGTTAGAACTTTGTGATGCCACTACAGGATTAAGCTCTGTGACAGGTGACTACGTGAGGTTATGGGCTAAAACTAAACTAATATTGTTTGACATCAGTTCTGAACAAGTCTCTCAGTACTTGAGAAGTTAGCCCCACCTAATGTGCACAATGAAATAAAGTCTTTGGGGGGGGGGGGGAGTAGCTCCGTATCGCCGTAATATCGAGATTTGATTGGCCGAACTTGTAGAGAAAATTTCATTTGTTGACAATACAGGCCAAGCTAAAGGTCTTATGACTAAGCCGTCACAAAATAAACATGATCGCGAGGCCTCTATTTAATTTTTAAAATATTCAACCCACACAAATTACGACTTAATTACATTGCTGAAATTATTTTTCGCAAATTGAAGGCTAAATTATTTTTAATTAAATTTGGTGTTCACGTCTCTTAATTGTTCTGACCTAAACACGCCCAAATCATGTTATTAGAAATTAGTGACCCGATTTCTAGTTATCGAACACAAATTGGTATTTTTTTTTTAAGAAAAATTAATTAAACGTGATATATTTTCGAATAAAATGAAAGCTTGTTATTTAGGTCCTTGGTAAGAAGAGATGGAGTCAAGTCATGTTCATGAACTACGTCACAGATAATAAGTTTCTGAATCACGATGGTAAACTATACACTTGTATCAAATCCGTGTGTGCGTGTGTATTAACATACATATAGTTGAAATTAAATATTTACTATTCTGATAAATTTATTCTGAATTTTGATGTGAAGAGGAAGTTAATTTGATGTAATTGAAGTTGAGCGAGAACATAAATGCATGTTTTGTTGTTGTTGTTTTTTTGCAGACGACAGCAGCTTCATCCTGACGACAGATGGAGACGTGAGTTTTAAGCCTGGCGCTGTGCGGGCTCTCATTAAAAGACTGCAGGCTGACAACAATTTAGGTCAGTGAACTGTCTGCAGATTCTGGCATTAGTGCTAGAGATGGTCGTATTGCACGTGGAGGTGGCTGGTCTATAGGGCAAGAAGTGGGATCGAGGTCAAGGCCTTCGGTATATAGGTCAAGCGCAGTCGAGGTTAAGGTTGACGCAGTATAAGTTAAACGGGGTCGAGGTCAAGGCCGCCCTATACAGGTCAACTGGAATCGAAGCCCAGGTAGTCTGGAAAAGGTCAAAACATTCACACTTTAGAGGAAGGTGGTCAAGGTAGTCGCAATGAGTCCAAGGCAGACCATTTGCAATTAAGTTTTGAAAAAAAAAATTATATTCCAATCAGATGAATTTCTGCATTTTGGTACATGTTTTCTACAAGTTAATTTCTACAATCGATTTTTCTTCTTAAAACTACAAAGGTGCCGTCTGTTCCCGGATAATGCCTGACGGTGAAGGCCCTTTGTACTGGTTCCAGTCGTTTGAATACGCTCTGGACCACTGGCTTCAGAAGGTAAGTAACACTTAATAGTTAGTTGTGACATTATCAGTAGTTGTGTGATAAACAGTAGCGTGATAGCGGAATTGTTAGCTGTGACATGATAAGTAGCGGAATTGTTAGTAATGTTAGTTATAGTGCAATACGTAGTGGATTGATAAGTAGTGGCAGTGTAAGTAGTAAGTATAATATGAGATGTAAGAATCACGATGTAAGTAGTTGTCTTATAAAACCGTTAATGTACGTCCCAACACAATCCTGCTTGCAGACGACAGAGCACGTGCTAGGCTCGGTGCTGTGTGCCCCTGGATGTTTCAGCCTGTACCGCTGTAGCGCCATCTGTGACGTGCTGAAGACCTACAGCCAGCCTGCCCGGTCAGCGATGGACTTCCTCACTAGAGATATGGGGGAGGACAGGTGGCTCTGCTCTCTGATGGTGGGTCCCTTTTACCTCAGTTACTTCCTTCCTTCCTTATACGGAAACCGGCTCAGAAGGTTGACTTCCATTAGCCAGGCAGGCCTCAATGTAGCAAACTCCTTCTTCTTCTTCTTCTTCTTCTTCTTCGTTCTTAATAATTAGTGTTGAAGGGGGTCGAGATTTATCTGCCAGTGGGTTTGAACTCGAGACTTTGTTCGAATTTATCAACCATGAGCTCTTTGCCGACCTGACCACGCCTCCAACACAATTAAGCGTTACGTGTCAACTGATTATGCGCCATTGAGGCCATTGACTCCGATTTCAGCCTGCTTTTCTTTTTGGATTTGCTTCCATAGCCTTTGTCCAACCAAGAACAAACTACAAGGCAGCAGTTGTTTAATTTTGGAGTTGTCTCTCCTAGAAGAGCGGCTGTCCCCAGCTAACGAGCCTCATCTGCCCGAGGGTTCGATCTCGAGACTTTTCGGTTTAGCAGCCATGAGCTTTACCGACTCGACCACGCCGACCCCTTAGCAAACTCCGACCATAAGAGTTTCTCACACATCGGTCGCTACTTCCGTCGGCTCTCACCGGGCTTTCCTTCCCCACCCACCAGACGCGGGACGTCGTCCTACCGCCTGGTACCCAGCTTGATCGTGGGGGGCGTTCGGCCATTCTTTGAGCCTAGTGCATACAGCAGCTCTACTCGGCCAGATCAAAAACCTCTAGCTGCTGTTGGCTACCACTAGCCATTCCGCACCCACTAGGGGGGTCATGGGCTTGGTCCGACTAGTGGCACTCTTTCGAAGCCACGTGAAGGCCGCAGCTTAAAGTCAAGATATCTGGTTAGGGTCGAGAGCAAACCCTTCTTAGTTCCCGGCAGTCTTGCACCTCTCCTCCCCCACGCTATTATGCAGGGGACTTGGGAGTCCGACGTACCAGGCTCTTCGGAACCTCAGTTACTAGCAGGACCAGATTTAGATTTGATGTGGGTCCCTTTACCTCATTTACTAGCAGGGGCGGTTCTAGACTTGATGTGGGTCCCTTTACCTCAGTTCCTAGCAGGGGCGGTTCTAGACTTGATGTGGGTCCCTTTACCTCATTTACTAGCAGGGGCGGTTCTAGAATTGATGTGGGTCCCTTTACCTCAGTTACTAGCAGGACCATATTTAGACTTGATGTGGGTCCCTTTACCTCATTTACTAACAGGACCGGATTTAGACTTGATGTGGGTCCCTTTACCTCATTTACTAGCAGGGGCGTTTTTAGACTTGATGTGGGTCCCTTTACCTCAGTTCCTAGCAGGGGTGGTTCTAGACTTGATGTGGGCGCCGTGATTTTCTTACAGTTTCTAATACTGTTGACTCTCTACATGCTCCCTAATAAAACTCAATAGTATTATCTAATCAATAGTAATATAAATTTTACATCTTATATTAACAATGACCGATAAAAAACTTACTTCGGCGCCCCACGTTTTTCATTGTTTGTCATAATGCGCACGCAGTTTGCGATCGCTTATAGTAGAGTGATCGCTTGCATTATTGTGATGTATAGCATTTATTTTCAACTTTTTAGTTCAATCAGAAAACGTGGGTTTTTAAAAACTTGTTTATTGATATTTTTTTTTGCCTCAGTTTACCTTATATGTTCTTAGTTTAACTAGAGTATAACAACTGCTTTCAATAAATAACACTAACCCAAAGTTTAAAATAATCTTAGGTTCAAGAAGGGTGTAGCATTGCCTACTGCCAAGATGCCCGGGTTACCACACACTGTCCGACTAATTTTCAGGAGTTTTTAAAACAAAGGCGTCGTTGGATTGCGTCCACTTTAGCCAACGTCTACCTGCATTTAAAGGTAGGCAACATTATTATATTATGATGGACATCAAAAGAAAAATGTTGTTGCTAGAATTCGACTGTTATCTCCCCTCACCATTTCCAATCTATTTTAGAATATAATTTTCTTGTCCCCAATATTAGTTCTATTTATTCTAGGATTTTAACAAAAATATAATCCAAAATTTAAAAAAAAAAACAGGTGCTTTACAGTATAGTTTTCGCTTACAATTTGCCAGTAATGCATGGTCATTTTAAAACTATTGAAATCCCTACTAAACCCTAATCTAACCCTTAAGGCGACGAAAAAAAAACAACAGATACTAAACATCAGATAGACATTTAAATACCAAACCAAGAAGACAGCGAAAGCTTTTTTGGTTGAAATTGTATTGGATTTATACCGAAAACAAAGTTGTGTCTTGTTCATTATCTTGTTTCAATATTTACGATTATAACAAGCTCCCGATCTGACGTATATAATACTCATGAAATTATGTATTTAATGCTCCTGACATGACGTATATAATGAAGCAATACTGTACCTAATGAAAGCTGTTGTTTTCTCTTCATACCTGAACGTATTGGGCTTGCAGGACAGGAACAAACTCCGTCGGGCCAATCTTCGCGTCTCCGAGATCTTCCTGATGTACCATGTGCTCCAGTTTATCATGGCTCTTTTCTCGCCCACAGTCGTTCTCGTTCTCATTGCCGGTAAGTTCCGGCTAGAATTTATGGTGTCACTTTCATTGACAGTAACGTTGTGGCAAGAGTGTTAGTTGTCCTTTTTATTGTAGTATGTTTCATAAAAATCCTCTTTAGACCTAGCGATCCCTTGGGCAGATGAAGTAAAAATCATGTTTCTTGACCTCGGCATATGAAGGGAAGGTGTTGTCAGCACTTTGTACAGCCGCCGTTGCTTTATCTAACATACGTTAGGTACCCATTAAAGCTGGGTGGACTCAGGAAAGTTCTACTGACTTGGAGCTGGATTCGAACAAGAGACTTTCGGGTTAGAAGCTTAGGCCACGCCGTCTCATCCGTCCCGTAGTGGTGGCTATTTAAGATGCCTGTAAGCCTTGGTCGGGTGGTAAAGCTTACGACTGCTAACCCGAAAGTCACGAGTTTGGATCCTGCCCTTAAATCTGTAGTCCACTCAGCTCTGATGGGTGCCTAACACACGGTAGGGAAATTAAGGCGGCTGACTACACCATGTCCTTGCAAGCTGAGGTCATTGAAACAGATGCACTCTTCTTCGTCTGTCCCATGTGTCTTAGGCATGAACAAGGAAAAATGATGAGTATAACTGGATTGATCTTTGAAATAAGGCTATAATTTAATTTTTATAAATATAAACCACGCTACTCTTAGGTATATATATATATATATATATATATATATATATATATATATATATATATATATATATATATATATATATATATATATATATAATTCTATACGTGGGGACCATGCGAGACACCACCAAGACGTAAGTTCAACAGACCATCTCGCTACCACCCCCACCAGTCTGGTGAGCTGTTTACAATCGTAGTGACTACGATTAGGGGCGGATTATTTAGTTTTTAAACTATTTGAAACTAAGGGGAGGTAATAACATATTTTGCTTGCTCTTTTCATTGTCGTCTGTAAACGGTCGTCACAGACGGCTGCTTTCGTGGAGGCGGAGGGGGGGGGGGTGAGTAAAAAGTGAGAGGGGATAATCACCTTTTACGAGCTACTGATAGTTTTTTAAAGCAAAATATTTTCATCAACAGCATTGGTAGTGTCGAATTCACAAATTATGAATTACTGAAAAGTAGGAATTAAACTAAATACCGGAGCATGCTACGTCGCGGATCAGCTTGTTAAAATTATTAGATGAAAGTTAGTCTGTCGTCACACACACCGGACTTCAGGCGGGGGCTGCTTTACTGAACGTAGACTATCCGGAACAGATGGCCGATATGTATGGCTGAACTGTAAGGCCGATTTGTATAACCGACTTTTTTTGGATATGTATAGGACCGATCAATATTACCGATTCATAATGGCCGTAATCTATGGCTTATTTTTATGGCTGATCGGTTGGGCCTATCCATCGCCATTTTATTAGCATGTGACATCTACTTCATCTGCCCTTTTGCTCCACTGATCCGTAAGTGGTAACTAACTAACTACCTAACGGAGTAGTGACAGGCCTAATCGCTTTCTCCTCGCTTTGTCGTGCACGTAATGACCTTCGTAGAGACACCGAATGAAAGAAGTCATCGTCGAAAAAGTATCGATTTGTGAGGCTTGTCCATGTAATTTTAGACCAACGTGGTTACTAATTTACAACTAGCATTCAACTTTAATTTTTAAAATGTTATTATAGGTGGAATTAGCTCCGCGTTTGGTATCTCAACTTCTGTTATGTACATTGTCATTGCCGTGCTAGAGTTCAACTTTGTCCTCATTTGCCTCAAAGGAAATCATCGAACCCAACTGGTGGTAAGTCTTGAATTCTTATATCACACATGAATATCAAGCAATTGGTTTATTTTATTATCTTATCATCCAGTGGCGGAACTAGAAAAAATGGGCCACCCCGCAAAAAAAATTTTTGGGCCCTCCATATATATATATATATATATATATATATATATATATATATATATATATATATATATATATATATATATATATATATATATATATATTTATGTATGTATGTGTATATATATATATATATATATATATATATATATATATATATATATATATATATATATATATATATATATATATATATATATATATATATATGTATATATATATATATATATATATATATATATATATATATATATATATATATATATATATATGTATATATGTATATATATATGTATATATATATATATATATATATATATATATATATATATATATATATATATAAAACACGCTATCATTCGTGTATTTATTTGAGACGTTTGCCATGTTTTCTAGAACAGTGGTTATTAAACGTAAACAATGTCGGCACTTTATTTCTTGGATATTCGTTGTTGGAGCGCAAGTTTGTCAACACTACCACCGATACGAGCCAGCTTAGTTGTTGAGGCGCTATCTATTCGCTTCTTGTAAGGCTAAGAGCGGGAGGGGAGGACTGAGAAAGGAACTTAAAAGGGACAACAAAGCACCGATGTACTTTTACCCATAAGTACCAAATTTGGGATGGTCTCAAAAAGCCATCTTAATATCTAGCGGCCTCTCGTGCAATTGATGTTTTTTCAAAAGAATTTTGCCGACAACAGCGTGTGTTTGATTGTAGGAAAAAGAATATACAAGAGCGTGGGATGGTGTCTATAGAATAAAGATAATCCAACCGCAGCTACAGTATTCTTTTTTCAAAACAACCAACAGGTCAAGAATGCAAGAAAATTAATTTTAACTATAAAAAATGATTATGGGCGGCTGTGGGCCCACTAAACGGCGTGCCCCCCCCCCCCCACATTGCGGGGTCTGGCGGCACTGTAATTCCGCCCCTGTTATTATCACACAACATTTTACTCAAATCATGTAATTCTATCTCGTTCGAGTATACCATACAAGTATTTCAAACATACCATGTATTATGATTGCATATTTGTTTTATATTTTCATACCGACCCTGGATTGTTATATTATGCAATTCATATATACCACAATATACCTGTATTCTAATATTATATTAGGTGGCTGAGTTCTATGCTCTCCTGTTCCCTACCTTGATGTGGGCTATCTTAGCGGGGATCGTCGTCAAGTTACTCAGTAAGTTTACATTCATTATGATCTTTTAGTTAGTTACCCTGTCAGACCTGGCGATCCATAGAACAAATGAAGTAAAGTTCATTTGTTTCTGTAAACTCGGCCTTATAGTCGGTCTCCTATAAACATTTTATTTCAGGCATTTCTCGGGGGGGGGGGGGGGGGGGTCACTGTCCCATCCCCTAGAGCTCTTGCACCGCCCCTAGTCAAAATAGAGAAGTTATATAATTTATAAATAACATATTTGCACCTGTGACAGCCCCTACACTCATAAATATAAGTGCATCCCCCCCTCCCGGAATTTTCAAATAACTACCCCCTCCCGAAAAGTTTCAAGTGCCCATCAAAGCTTGGTGATTTCAGGAATGTGCTACGGACCCGAGTCTGGTAGTGATAAATTATTTTTACAGGCTTTTAGTTAACTCACTTCCTCTGTTGGCCGTCTGTCGTCAGTCGTCAGTCTGTCTAGATCGAAACGCCGAAGCGAAATTGCAGGCACTAATACTAGACAGACACGGTACATAGTTGGAACGTGGGTCAAGACATGAAGAAATTGCGTTGTGACATTCAATTTGACTTAATTGGTCGCCTAATTAATTTTTTATGAGTTAATTTAAATTTGAACCAATTTAGTAGGCAGTTCTATCCACACGCGATGTCACGGAAAAAGCGCGTCGTCACGTTCACGAGGGGTGCGCAATGGGTTTTAGTCATGTAACTACTATAAATAAAAACATGTAAAGTACAAAAAAATGAATAAAAAACGTTTTAATAACAAGCTTTTATGTAATAATGCACTAAAAAGGAGAAAATAAATTACACACTAATATTTAAATAACTATGAAGAAAAGCGTGGGTCTCTTCCTCAATATTAGTAAAGGTATCCAAAAGATACTAAAGTGACCCACGCTTTTCTTTATCTAATATATAAAGCTCAGTTCTGTATGTAATGCATATGTTTGTCGTTGGTCTTGGATGAATTTAAGTGTTAGAAAATTATCGTGCGCATTTGTCTTAATTTATGAGCTAAAAAATTACTATTGAAAGTGTTGGGAAATAATTTTCATTTTCAAATTACAGTAATAATTGTCGGCATGTTCATTAAACACAAGTTTTAAAAAAACATCATCTTTTACAAAAATTCTAATTATGTCTTTATTTAGTCCTATAGCACTTACTTCCCTTTGATAAATTAGGAAAACAAAATTACTTCCCTTTATAAAACCATTGCATTTTGTGGAAAATAATTTACTTTTTAATTACTTTGTTTTGGTGTTGGGAAAAAAAAATAATTACATAATTAGCGGGGATTGATCAAGTGCAAATGTTGTAAGTATTTTACGGATAAGCTTGGAGTATTAAAATTGTTCATTAAATTGAAACAGGCGCGTTCGTTTAAGTGAGTGCAAAAGACTATGAATAAGTTGGGGTACTATAGTCGTTCATTAAGCTAAAACAGGTGATTCCGCCCCGGGCGTTTATGTTCGCGTTAGTGTTTTCTTTGTGTTTAGGTGGGTTTGCGTTAGTGGTTGCGGTTTGTTTTGGTTCGTTTTTGTTCTTTCTTTTTTCGTTTTTGTTTGTGTTTTTTTTTTTTGGGTTTGTATTTGTGTTTTTGGTTGGTTTTGCGTTTGGATTTGGTTTGTTTTCGTTTGCTTTTTCGTTTTTTTTTTGTTGGTATTGGTGTTTGTGGTTGGGTTTGTTGTTAGGTTTTTGTTTTCGTTTGCTTTTTTGTTTGTTTTTTCTTTGTGTTTGTATTGGTGTTTGTGGTTGTGGTTGGGTTTGTTGTTAGGTTTTTGTTTTCGTTTGTATTTGTAATTGTGTTGGCGTTATGTTTGCGTTTTGTTGTTTTGGTTGGTTGTGGTTTGGGTGGGCAATGCCGGGTATATGATGATTACTAAACACACAGGAAATGGTCTTTAACAGAAAGGTTTTTCACAGAAGCCAGAGCAGGGCCTGGCCGGGACGGCTAGTAGTTATTTAAATATTAGTGTATAATTTCTTTTTCTCCTTTTTAGTGCATTATTACATACAAGCTTGTTATTGAGAATATTCCTGGGGAGGCTGCTGCGCAAAAATCATTTTTAATTTCTCAAGGGCGGCGCCACGGGAGGGTGCGATTTTTCTCTTTATCCGGTATATAAAAATAATAAAAGTGAATTGCAGTGACACCGTTCACACGATCGCCATGAAACTTTTTGGAGATGTTGAGAATATTCCTTGGAAGGTTTCTGCGCTAAAGAGATTTTCAATTCGCAGGGGTGGCGCCCTGCCAGGGCGCGGTTTGTTTTCTCTATATATATGGTATATGAAAATAAAAGTCGATTGCGGTCTCACAACGTTCATCTGATAGCCATCAAACTTCAGGGACTTGATTAGAACACTCCAGGGAAGGGTTCTGTAAAAAAATCTTTTAAATTTCGCATGGGCGGCGCCACGGAATGGTGGGGTTTTTCTCATTATACGTTATATAAAAATAAAAGACGATTGCGGTGCCATAAAACTTTAGGGAGTTGATGATTACTCCCGAGCAGGTTTCTGGGGTGGGAGGGGGAAATAGGGGTGGGTGGGTGGTGGGGGCGGGGAGATTGAATTTTACATGGGCGCCCCCCCCCCCTCGGTAGGATGCGATTTGGCGCCCTGGTCTTTCCCGTTAGCGCTTTGGTGACTACGTTCGGTCTAAACAGCGTGATAGATAATGGATAGGATGGGGCGTTTACAAGCGCTCACTAAATTGAATCAGGCGTGTCCTCTGGCGCCCAGGTAGGGTGCGATTAGGCTGCAAATAAAAATGTCTGTTTTAGTCCCCAAATGCTCACATGGTCCGCTGAGGGCTATGAAATACTTTTTATTTTAATAGTAAGAAATTAACGCAGGGCGGGGGTCTTTCGGCAAGAAATTTTTTTGTTATATAGCTCAAATAAGGAGATTTTCACTGGCGGTCACTTTTTAGCCCTCGTCGAGTGCTTTGAGTAAAACCGACAGGTTTGCCCTACGGTATAGCCATCTGCCTAAAATTAGCCTGATGTGCAGAGGGTAAGTACCCTGAAATCTTTGTTTGAATTACCCTCTGTTTTACCCATAAAATACAAGGATGATATAGAGAAATACGAATGGTCAGTTTTGACCGATTTCCAGATTTTTCTCAGATATGCCGAGTTTTTTGTGACACCCCAAGGCGTTCTCCTACCACCTCACAAAATATCAAGGGGGGGTCGTAGTCGGAAATTTTTTATCGTAATAGAGCTCATATAAAGAGAATTTCACACGCGGTCACTTTTTAGCCCTCGTCGAGGGCTTTGAGTCAAACCGACAGTTTTCCCTAAAGGTCAAGCCATTGACCTAAGAGTATGCAAAACATTAGCCAGATATACTGAGTTTAAGTACCCTAAATTCTGCGTTGAAATGACCCTCTGTTTTTCCCATAAAATACAAAGATTATATAGGGAAATACAACTGGTCAGTTTTGACCCCTTTATGAAGTTTTCCCAGATATGCCGAGTTTTTTGTGACACCCCAAGGCGTTCTTCTACCACCTCACAAAATATCAAAGGGGGTCGTCGGAGGACATTTTTTCGTAATAGAGCTCATATAAAGAGAATTTCACTCGCGGTCACTTTTTAGCCCTCGTCGAGGGCTTTGAGTCAAACCGACAGGTTTGCCCTACGGCCAAGCCATTTACCTATAAGCATGCCAAAATTAGCCAGATGTAAAGAGGGTAAGTGCCCTAAAATCCGTTTTCACATTACCCTCTGTTTTTGCCATAAAATACAAAGATTATATAGGGAAATACAACTGGTCAGTTTTGACCCCTTTACGAAGTTTTCCCAAATATGCCGAGTTTTTTGTGACACCCCAAGACGTTTTCCTACCACCTCACAAAATATGTCTGTTATTTTTGTATGATAATTACTTGAAAGATCTGTTTTAGTTTGAGTGTATGTTATATGTTTATTATTGATTATTCTACTTCTACTAATTTCACCACTTAAGACACGAATTTTTCCAAATATTTCCAGTGAACTGCTGGTATTTATAGAATTGAGACCTAAGTCATTTTCACTTATAGGGAAGTTAATGTAAACTATGTTATGTGCTATGTGATTAATCCAATGCTGAGTGAGGGAAAAACCATTGAGAGAGTAATTCTCTTATTCGGTTTTGTTCGAGTTTTAGCAAAAAGATCAGCTGTAATATCAGTGTTAAATACACTTTTTCTTTCCTTTAAAAAAACTGACACTATAAAATAACGCTATTCCTGTCACATCCACGACAAAGAAACAAGTAATTTTTTTGTGATGCGTTGAAAAGCCATAGCTGGATACGAACCCTTAGTCAAAGCTAACCCTAGCAATAGGTCTATCTCTCTCTCTCTCTCTCTCTCTCTCTCTCTCTCTCTTGCTCTCTCTCTCTCTCTAGCTCCAACTCTAGTTTTAAGCATGTTTTTTTTTTTTGCATGAAACCAAAAAATACTTTAAATTTGTTGGATGGTGTTTGTACAGACGGTACACTTTTTTTGCAGACGACTCAGACCTTAACTTCACTGCGGGCTACATCGTAGCCACTTTTGGCGTGGTCCTTGTGACCGGCATCCTCCAGGGCAAACACTGCGTACATCTGGTCCATGGTGTACTCTTCCTTTGTTCACTGCCATGCATGTACCTGCTGATGTCTTTGTACACGGTATCCAACCTGACAGATCTCAGTTGGGGTAAGGCTATTTGTGTAAAATTTTATGGTTGAATGACTTCAGTTGGGGTTAGGCTATTTGTGTAAAATTTTATGGTTGACTGACTTCAGTTGGGGTAAGGCTATTTGTGTACAGTTTTTGGTTGATTGACCTCAGTTTGGGTAAGGTTATTATTCCGGTACAGTTTCATATTTGACTAACCTTATCTGGGGTAAGACTATTGTTTGTGTACGATTTTATGGCTGACCGACTTTACATGGGATACGGCTATTTGTGTACAGTTTTATAACTAACTGAACTCAACTGTGGTAAGGCTATTGTTTGTATTCGGATAAGCATCCCATATCCTTAACTTAAGTACGCTGTTACTGTACAAAATCCAACCAGACTGACTAAATTATATGTTCTCCTCTAGCTAGTAGACCTAAAACAGAACTCAGACATTTTTTTTTTCATCACATCGACGTCTTGTTTCAGGCACCAGAGAACAGTTGGAAGCGGAGTCGGAAAATTTCCTCCAAACGTGGATTAAACTCCTCAAGTCTATGTGTCGGTAATAGATCCAAAATGTTATATTGTTCAGTATGCTCATTTTAGTATTTTGACTTTGTCCGCACTCCTCGACCCCCCCCCCTTTCTCAGAATCCATAATTGCTTTGGTGATACGCCAGTAAATGGTTGGTACAAATTTTGAACGTTTGATTAAATATAAAACTATCTTAAATAAGTACAAGTAATTGAAAATTACTTATTGTAATAGTATCAATAAATCTCATAGATCTTATAATTTTTTATATGTTACTTATTAATTACACCTAATTATATAATTCATTCAGTATTTTGTTTTAATTATCATTCCCAGGCGAAAGAAGACAGATATAATAACAGATAAAGAAATAGCTGAGCTTGGTATATATAAATTCTAAATTCTAAGTAGCTATCTGCGTTGTATTTTCTAATGTCATAAAAAAAGGTGGAATCTGTTAGCCCACTACCCGTGGGAAAGGTGGAATCATATCAGCTCCCTCCCGTGGGGAACGTGATTCGATAAAGCAGTTTCTTTGACCTCAACATTTGAATGGATAATGTTGTCGGCACTTTCTATCCGCCTGTACTTCCCTGATTCAAGTCAGGTACTTATTAGAGCTGGGTTGACTCAGGGACTTTCTACGGTCAGGTGACCATCAGAGCTGGGTGGACTCAGGGAATTACTAGGTTGAAGTACCCATCATGTGCCCATATATGTATCTATAAATTCAAAAGAATTTGAATGTTTTGTTTTTTGTTTACTACTAGACCCATCGCCTGACAAAAAAGAAGAAAAGACGACTGAAATAAAACCAACACCCACAGGTAAGGTTACCTTATATTTCCCACTTTATATTGAATGTTTCCTCTATCATACTACCCCTAACACCACCCTTAGGCCTCCACATACTGACGTATACTCCATCAGAGCTGGGTGGACAGGAATTTTCTCTGGTCAGGTACCCATCAGAGCTGAATGGACTAAGGGACTTTCTAGGGTCAGGTACCCATCAGAGCTGGGTGGACTCAGAGAATTACTAGGTTCAAGTACCCATCAGGTGCCTATCTATGTATCTATAAATTCAAAAGAATTTGAATGTTTTGTTTTTTTGTTTACTACTAGACCCATCGCCTGATAAAACGGAAGAAAAGACGACTGAAATAAAACCAACACCCACAGGTAAGGTTACGTTATATTTCCCACTTTATATTGAATGTTTCCTCTATCATACTACCCCTAACGTCCCACTTAGGCCTCCACATACTGACGTATACTCTATTAGAGCTGGGTGGACAGGGACATCCTATAGTTTAGGTGCCCTTCAGAGATGGGTAGACGGGGGCTTTCTGGGCTCAGGTGAATATTTTTTATATAACACTACGGGGGATGGCAACTTGGGGTATAGACATGATTTTTTATCAATTTTTAATTACTTAAACTTTTTAAAAACAGAATAGAATCTCGTAGAAAAAAGAATTGCGCACCAACTGAACGACAAAAATTATGTGTATAATAGTGTGGAATATTATTAGTCTATATTTATATGAAAAGCAATGTATGTTTGTTTGATTGTTTGTTTGCCTTATATGCATTACTACACATTTTGACTGATCGCTATGAGACTTTGAAAAGTTGTTGAGAATAGTCCTGGGGCAGTTTCTGCGGAAAAAGAAAATTCAAACTCGCAGGGGCAGCGCCCCGGAAGGGAGCAATTAGTTTTTTCTCTATAAACGGTATATAAAAATAAAAGTCAATTGCTGTTTGATACCGTTCATCCGATCGCCATCAAATTTTGGTGTGTTGATTAGAACACTCTAGGGAAGGGTTCTGTAAAAAAAAAAACATTTTTAATTTCGCAAGGGCTGCGCCATGGGAGGTTGCAATTTTTCTTTATGTACGGTATATAAAAACAAAAGTCAATTTTGGTTTGACACCGTTCAACCGAAAGCCATTGGACTTTTGGGAGTTGATTAAGACACTACCTGGAAGGGTTCTGCAAAAAAAAAAATTAATTTTGCAAAGGCGGCGCCACGGGAGGGTGCAATATTTTTCACTATATGTGGTTTATACAAAATAAAAGTCAATTGCAGTTTCACAAAATTCATCCGATCGATATCAAACTTTAGGAAGTTGATTAGAACACTCTAGTGAAGGGTTCTGCAAAAACAATTTTTTTGCAATTTTGCAAGGGCGGCGCCCAGGGAGGGTTCGAAGTTTCTCTATATACGGTATATCTATCTATCTATATACTACTAAATCTCAGGTGTGACGTCTTTTTGAATGTGTGGTCTGGTTTTTTGTGTAGATAAGTGAAAGACGTGATGTTTTTTTTTATGGATGACCCCCGAAACCCACAGTTATTCAAGGGATGACCGGGTAGTCTAATGGATTATAAAAATGATAGACAGCGTTTCACCAATTTTCCCAAAAAAGTGTTTGTATTTTAGAAAAAAAGTACATTTAAAGCTTTAAATATTTATTATTTTTGGGTAAAATTTAAAAAAAAACAAATTTTGTATCACACATGGGCCTTCGTTGTATAGCTGTTTGATCATAATCATTATGGCTAGTTTTTTTAATCGTCAATTTTCTGTAGTCAGGATGCTACTTCCAACTTAACACTCCAGGTGACTTTAATATATACATCTATTAAATTATTTTTTTAAATAAACCGGGAGTGATCTCCCCTAAACTTTCTCGAATATTCTAATATAACACTACGGGGGCTGGCAACTCGGGATATAGACTTCTAGACATGATTTTTAATCCATTTTAAATACTCAAATTTTTTTAACATAGAATAAAATCTCGTAGAAAAAAGAATTGCACACCAAGTGAACGCTAAATAAAGATGTGCATAATAGTGCGGAATATTATTAGTACTTTATAAATTTACATGCGTTTTTTTGAGAAATCGGAAATAGCGTAAATAAGTACTTCCGGTCAACGGAAATTACTCAAAATGTGACAGAAGGTAGAGAATTAGATCTTTTACTTACATATCAAATTACATTTATCTATCTGAAATAGTACTGAAGTTATAGGCTTTTGAAAAATTCAAAGTAGAAAAAGTACCGCTTCCGGTTATTGGAAATCGCTCAAAAGTTGATACGGATCTACGATTTTGATAAAATACTTATATATGAAATTTCATCAACCTAGCTGTAACGGTACTCAAGTTATCGTGTTTACACACGGACACACACACACACACACAGACAGACACACGGACATACGGACAAGATTGCAAAATTATGTTTTTCCGTATCAGTGAGATGTAAAACGTCGAGATTTGCAAAAAATCTCGATTTTTTTATATTTTTTTTTGCACGATTACAAGACTTTCTCTCTACTTCGTATATACGAACATTTCCTTTCAATTTGATTTAGAAAAGGCTGGTTTGATTTAAATCACATTTTTTTATTTTAAAGAATCGGCTGATGTTGAAGAAGAAAGTGACGAGGAGGATGAAGACACGGATGAAACAGACGGCTTCAGCTCTGATTATCCGTCCATAGACAATTGGCTACCAGATCATCTAAGGGTTAGTACTGGCTACATTATTATATAAGGAGAGGTAATTGCTACATTAATATCTAAAGGTAGATAATTGGTACATGAACATTTAAAGTTAGGTAATAGCTATAATCTAAAGGTAGGTAATTGCTTAAATAACATCTAAGGTTAAGTACCGGCTTCATCAACATATAAGGGCAGGTAGTTACTACATGAGAATCTAAGGGCAGGTAACCACTAAATAAAATTCAACTGGCAGGTATTGACTACCTAAACGTCTAATGATTTTATGTGTCTAACCACATTCTGATTCACGTTGTGTCCTAACATCCTCAGATACCGTACGCCGCCAAGTTCAAGAAACACGGCTATGCAACCACCAACTTTCTCACATCTTTGACCGAGGCTGACCTGGTCAAGTTAGGCGTGGATAAGAAGGGCATTAGGATGTTCCTGATGGCTGAGATAAGAAGACTGCCAATTTTCCATCTGAAGATTAATGTCAAAGTAGGTAGCTTCTAACTACCAACACGTGAAGCAATCAAGAGATTGAGCGTAGTCATTCTTGGTTATTGTGAATTTTTTGTTTTATTAGTTAGACGGAAGTGAAAAGTAAAACAAGTGAGAAACAGAGTCCAGCCATTCATGCAGAGTCCAAACTATATAGCATATAGCTTACTTGATGAGAACAACAAGAATGATACCATTTGCATAATTAACGCTATATTGAGACGCTTCTATTATTACACAATGTGTCTCGCATACGCCATACATATACAATATCCACTTCATATATGTAACATCATGCCCGCTTTAAATAATTATAATTCTATATCAAAAGCTACAACTAACAACACCACCGAACCCTGCCAATTCCTAACCCTAACAACATCACATCCTCCCAACTTAACCCTATCAACACCACACCATCAAAACCCTTACTACACCACACCTGCCAACTCCGAACACCACCAACATCATTAGTTACAACACCAACACCATTAATTAAACTACATCAACATAATTAATAACCAACACGTTAAATTTCAGGCCTCCGTTGACATGTTTTTGAAAGACATTGGACTGCAGAACTATCTGGAGAACTTTAAAGCCAACTGTTTGGACACGGCTGAAAGTATCCAAATTCTCAAGCACTTCACAGAAGCCGACATCAAAGATTTGGGGATTAAAAAATCAGGTAGCCCTTCATTTAAATCTTCGTCATACCTCAGACATTTAAACCCACAGTTGTAAACAAAAATACTGTAATCGCCCCATATTGAAATCCTCAAAACTTTAAAAACACATTCTATTTGCTGTTACGCAATCGTTTTAAATTATTTCAAAATCTTTATTATCGTATCTGGTTGGTAGTGGATGCGCTTTTGAATTTTTAAGAAGTTATGTTAGAAACTGAATTTTAGCCGTTATTTCGCGTGTAGTCAACAATTTTAATAAACTGGAATAAAAATTGATTAAAATAGTCGATGTTGACCGAGCACTGACAACGTTTTACAAATAATTCGATTTTTAAAAAAAGCTCATTTGCAATATCGATTGGGTGCTGAGGGGTGACATCATTTAAGGGGGAGGGGACTTTTTGTTAAGATGTGTGACGGAAGGGAGAAGGAGGGGGGGGGGAATCGGCAGAAAAGCGTGACGTCATTTATAAACCAGTTAGACAAACCTAAATAAAAGATTTCATGAGATTCTCAAGGAATTAAAACAAAATAAAAAAATGTTACATGTATGAAATGTCTGATAAAATTTAAACTAATGTATAGGTTTTAAAAATATAGTATGGATTGGTTTGAATGTTAGTGTCACAGGGGTGTGGGAGGAGGGGAGGGGATGGCTGCCCACCCAGGAATGCACCGGCCCTTGTAACAAGCTTTGGTTTCCCACAACTCTTTATGATTATGTTTTTCAGGTCACGTTAAAAGATTAATGAGTGCGATAGCGATGCTTCGATTGCACGAGGAAGGTATGTGTCTCCACCCCATTGGCATAATTTCACTTAGTATAGTTTTTATTTCAGTAAAACTAATCCTACAAAATAGCCAGCAATGTTTGTTATTTTTTTTTTCTCTCACTACTTACATAAAATTGCCTAAATTTCGACTTGGCATAAGTAGTAGTATGATCTATATAAAGTTTTTATAGCAGAACATGAATATAGAGTGGGTAGTAATGGATTATGTATTTAATTTACTAATGAAACAAATTTACTGTAGGTTATATAATTGGCCAACACATTGTTTTTAAATAAGACACTACACTTGGAGCAGAATTGTGTATTGATAAATGCATTTAAAATCAATTTTCTAACATTATAATTTTTTCACCATTACATTAAACACGTCCTTACGCTTGTGTCTGTTGCCTTTACTTTATGTGATGACATCACGTGATACAGTGTACACAACAGAGCAAGGATATCACACAGGTAAATCTGGTCTAAAACAGCTTTAACCAGAATAAGAAACATTATTTCAAATAATAAAATGAGTAGTTTTTTTTAACGCGCTTAAATGATCTAAAATCTAAGCCGTTTACACGTTTTTTAATTACTTTATCCTTGGTCATTTGTTGAAACATCAGTTTAATGGGATATAAAGATAATTACTTAGTTAATTAAATTACTCGTTTGAACCTTAAAGTCCATGGGGCAAGTAAAGTAGCGTTCACCTGTTTCTGTGACCTCGGCATATTAAGGGATAATGCTATCAACACTAAGCTCAGCCGCCTGTGCCTTTCTTAAGGGGGTTGGCTCCAGAAAAAAACTTCTTAAGTAATGCGCCTTTCTTATTTATTTGTTTTTATATAAGTTGAGTTACTTAAGGGGAAATATTTGCATGCGTCAGGAACTTTTCGGAAAAATATGGTTGCCATGGTAACGGCGACCATCTTGAAAAAATAACCTTTTGTGGAGTTCTAAAATTTCATTAACTAACATATATATCGGCCATATAATCATTGATCTTTCTTTTACTAACACTAATTGAGTCAACTAGCTAGTTGTTTTTTTTTTTAACAGAGTCCCTGATACTTGCAAATATTTTCCTTTCAGTACCCTAACTTAGATATACACAAATAACTAAATCAATAAAACATTTTAATTCCCCCAGGCCCAGATGAGAGAGACTTCAGGGCACAGTGGGTGCATCTGATAGAGCGGACTTTGAACCCCGATCGTTGTAACGTGGTCTCTCCAGACACCATAACAGGTGAGCATCCGTTCGTCCAGTGGTATTAAATATTTTTCCGTTTCTTCTTCCCCTTTTTCAACTCCCAGTGAAGTGTCGGCTATTTTTTATTTTCTCGATACGGAGTATAGAGGAAGTATTGTAATCGTGCAAAAAAATCGTTTTAGACCTTCATGCGACGTGTGTGTGCGTGTGTTTGTGCGTTTGTGTGTGTGTGTCTGTCTGTCTGTGTCTATGTGTGTGTCTGTGTATTTGTGTGAACAGGATAACTTGAGTACCGCTGCAGCTAGCTTGACGAATGTTCATAAATGGGTATTAAATCAAATTTTTAGTTCTGTGTCAACTTTTCAGCGAGTTCCAATAACGGAAGTGGAACTTATTCTGATTTCGGTTTTTCAAAACTCATAACTTAAGTACCGTTTCAGTTAGATAGAAAAAATTTCATATTTATGTAGAAGATTGAATTCTCAGTTTTCTGATACCGGGAGTAGTGTTTTATTTACCCTATTTCCGATTTCTCAAAAAAAGCAAATATTTTTTTTTTAACTTGATTCCTCATCTTTGTTTATAAAGTACTAATGTTTCAAACTATTATACCCATTATTTGCTGTTCATTAGGTGCGCAACTCTGTTTTCTACGAAATTCTCTTTTATTTAAAAAAATTAGAGAGTTGCTATACCCATTAGTGTTATCTATGAATATTCGAGAAAGTTTAGGGGAGATTTCACACGTCCACGCTTTCCGATAATTTCTATATTTTGTATTTTTTGTTTTATACATATCTCTAGTTTGTGATATTTTTGCTTCTTATTCATGTGAAATTTGGCGGTGTTTTGTTTCTTATTTCTGTGTAATTTGGTGGTGTTTTGTTTCTTATTTCTGTGCCATTTGGTGGTGTTTTGTTTCTTATTTCTGTGTGATTTAGTTGTGTTTCGTTTCTTATTTCTGTGTGATTAGGTGGTGCTTTGTTTCTTATTTCTGTGTAATTTGTGTATTTTGTTTCTTACTTCTGAGTGATTTGGTGATGTTTTGTTTCATATTCCTGTAAATTTGGTGGTTTCGTTTCTTATTTTATGTAATGGTGTAGTTTTTCGTTTTTTATATCCCTTGTTAATGTTTATTATACAAGTCTTATCTTTTATCCCGACGAAACAGAAAACCTACAGCGACTGAAAATCTACGCCATCAAATCTCTGCTTATTCCCAATACTCTGTTGTTCCTGTCTACTATTGGTCTGAGCTTTACAGAGTTTAGCAATGCCGTAATGGGAATCGACCCAGTCAGTAAGTCTATTTAGTGATTGCCGCGCATATATATATATATATATATATATATATATATATATATATATATATATATATATATATATATATATATATACACATATATATATATATATATACATATATATATATATATATATATATATATATATATATATATATATATATATATATATATATATACATGTATATATATATATATATATATATATATATATATATATATATATACATGTATATATATATATATATATATATATATATATATATATATATATATATACATATATACATATATACATGTATATATATATATATATATATATATATATATATATATATATATATATATATATATACATGTATATATATATATATATATATATATATATATATATATATATATATATATACATGTATATATATATATATATATATATATATATATATATATATATATATATATATATATATATATATACATATATACATATATACATATATATATATATATATATATATATATATATATATATATATATATATTTCAAATGTTTCAATCACGAAGTAATATCAGAACATTAACCTTCCACCTTCTGACCCCAACCTTTAACCTTTTTCAAATTTCAGGTTTTGCCGTCCTGCTCCTATACGGCCTACTCACCCTCCTCCAGTTCCTCTGCATGCTCATCTACAACCTCTCTAGGTTCTGCCACAAAATATCCCGAGTTTCGTATGGACTGAGGAGATTTAAATGTCTCAACAGAAATGTAAGATTTGTATTTTGTGCGATTTAAAAAAAAAATATGGTAAATATAATTTTAAAATCTTTAAACAATATTTATCCCTGACGGTCCAAGTAGAGTTCACGTGTTTCTGTAACCTCTTCATATGAAGAGATAGTGTGGTCAGCACTAGCCTAGCCGCCTTTACTTTCCCTAACGTGAAACAGGTATCACCAGAACTGGACTTGAACCTGGATTCCAACTCGAAACTTCCGGGTGAGCAGTCGAATATTTCAATACGACTAGCAAGACTGCTTGCAATAATTTCTTTAGATGCTAGACCTTAATGAGTATTTTAGCCAGTTTCATTACTAAAAGGGAACCCACAGATTCTTTAAACGTGCTCTAAAGAAAGATTGTATTTGGAGCATTAAATTCAATACCTATAAAGTACACAATCAAATTGTCTATAGAAGCCCCAATGTTAAATTTTTGTTAACGTATAAACTATCATTTCTGTTAGGGACACCACAAATTATTATTCAGTTACCTATTTTTAGATTAACCGAGCACTTCACTTTAGCTTGCCTACAGCATTAAATTTATTTTGATACATTTACTAAATTATTTAGTTTAGCTATCGCAATTAAATATAAAACAGGAATGATTTAAATCAATTCAATGTGTAACTCGTTTGTTCAGGGAAGTGAAAACTCTACATCTGGTAACACAGGAATACAGAACAGTGGTGATACAATCGAATTACAGACAGTCGGTGATGGATCAGAAACGGAATATTATAATATAAGGATGATTTCAGATGACAATTTCCGATAATAGACTCTTCCATAAAATAGGTGTATTGGGTTGTTAGTAGTATTGTAATCTCAACTAATTTTATGGTTAGAAATTAGGGTTAGGTGTATGGTAGGACCTGGATGAAGGTTAGCGTTAGGGACATGGTAAACATTGACATTAACCAGCCATGTGTGTATTTAGTTAACTACCGGTAACCTAACACCAGTTTTTTAAAGAAGATTCCATTATCGGATACCAGTAATTGTGACGAACACATTTATACTTACGTAGATCTGATTTTTACAAACTGAAGGAAAAAACACAAACAATCAAGAGAATTATTCAAATAAATTAGGTTTTCAACAAAATATTACTATATCTGAGAATCATTAACAGAGTTTCATTTTTTTAATAATGAAAAGTATTTGAGAGTTGATGAATCTTTAAAAATTCTTATGGTATTGCATTTTATTTTCACGTAATAGCGTCTCCAATTCTTTATTTTAAATCTCATTAAATTTAGAAGTTGAATTATTTATACTTAAGTTATAATCTCTCCAATTCATTATTTTAAATCTCATTAAATTTAGTAGTTGAAATATTTATACTTAAGTTATGGTCTGTCAGTCTTTTTGTAAAATCTCATTATATTGAGTGGTTGGACACTTAATGAAGACATAATTTCTTTTTTTATCAGAAGCTCAAAATGTCGCATCGGCATAAAAACCACAATCTTAGCCTAAATTTTAAAAACTTCTCTGCGACCCAACTCCTCTTTATTATAAACAATACTAGCATCATTTACAGCAATCTCCAACCTCTTTTTTCCTACAAAGACTGTCTTTGGACACCTCTTCCAAATTAAATTGTGAAAAGATTCATTGGCATTCTGTGTACCGCCGTGCAAACACTTCTGTAATAATGCATTGAAGGAGAGGATCTCAGATACTGGTTTACTTTCAGCTTTTACAAATTTTGGTAGCTTATTCTTATTTGCTTTATCCAAGTCCTCATGTCTAGTACACATCATGTACACCTGTCCTATGTTTCCAAATAGCCCACACAGCCTTTTTCATTGCAATACTGTTACCTGCATTTTTTCTAATAGCACCGCCATAATTACCATGTATTCTCTTTATTGCTGATTGTGTAAGCCTACCTGCTCCTTTTATACCTTTATATTGCTTTCCATTCTTTTTATAAAGTTTTCCTTTGCATTCATTATCCTTGTCCATCATTTAGTGTCCCGTGGTCTTGTGGACATGTCCGCAACATTCATCCTTAGTGATTTGTTTTACCTGAATAAATTTCTGGGTCTGCTTCAGCAATAGGTTTATACCTTTTGGAATCACCATCCCCTAGATAACCTACATAATTTAATCCATAATTTTTCTATGACCGTTGAAAAGTGTTAAGAATTCCTTGCGGCTCCATCGCTCCTGCCGTTCCAACATGATTGTGCTCCCACTCTTTTTCATGCTTTTCTTTCCATATCAAGAACTGTTCAGGGGAAAGTTTCTTCTCATTAGAACTATTTAAAGTAAATGTTTCCCTACATTTTATACAAGAAAATGAAATTTTGCAGGACAATCCACAATCATTTTCGATTAAATCAAAACCACAATACTCCTCACATAGGGACCTGGAAATATTGTCATAAATTTAACTAAATTTTGGGTATCAAATAACCAGTAACCTGTTTTGCTATCAAAATAATAATTTTAACTACACTTGAGTTTAATTTCATAAAAGATGTATTTATACTTATGTGTACAGCATTCCAATGGCTACTTTCATTATCAATATCCTAGGCAACATCTTCAATCACAGAGCTACTTAAATTTTCATTATCACAATCAGCATCGAACTTTAACTTTTTTAAAATACATATTACCGTGAAATTTTCTCTTCTTTGTTTTGCCTTTTTGCCCATATTTTTTTTTAAATGCTTATCTAGATTTAAAGACCAACACAAGATCTAAACAACACAAAACTATGTGCTGACTGTATGAACATATCCATTAAACAGAAAAGCACATGTGAAATTTGTAAACAAAATGGCTACCAAATGATTTTGTAAGGAAGCTTCTGATTGGTTGAAATTCAAATAAGCTAAATATTTTAGTCTGCAACAACCAATGAAATCCATGTTAACAACAAAAATAGTAATATTTAAAACGCGTAGGCCCTAAACTGGTAGAGCTAAAAATCATAAAACCAAAATAAAATATAAAATCGGATAATTAGCTAGGAAACTGTTGGGATTTTAAATTTAGGCCTTTTTAAAGATCAAAAGTAAACAAAAGTTATTCTTTTTAAAGAATTAATTACTTTAAAATATATTAGATTGTTATCTTTAAAATTTTGTTTGTTGTTCTTATTCAATAATGAATATAGTTTATATTTTAATCAAAAAGTCATTTGTCAAATATTTCAAGAAAAGTATGATTTTGCCTAGTTTAACCTGCCCTTAAGTTATTAAATTAATTAAAATAATGTTTATGGTAGTTGCCATCCTGTACATTCTGATATTTTGTTTTCACTCAAACTCAATCCGGCCATGAGAACTTAATTTAATGACTTCTAGCCAGAGACGAACAAAACTTTAAGTTAATGTTATTTTTTTATTTAATCTTAAATGCTTTTTGCTTTTCATTTATCATTTTATTTTCTACACTACAATCTTTATAAAATAAACTTTTTCATTAATAATCTGCAGTTATTATACGTTTATTGAATGAATAACTGAATGAAAGTTTAACAGTTGCTTATTAGAAAAAAAAAACAAATGAAAAATGTAAGCATGGGATAATTAGAACACAGTTTTTTAAATATTTATTGTGGTGACCTCCCTTTATGATACCTCCACCTCTTGGTTGGGTGTGACTTTTCTCTTGGATTTTGGCAGTAGGTTCATTTGTTGGATCTTCTCTTCAAAGGCTCGCAGGATTTGCTGGGGACATTTGGTTGACTTTGTTTGGTTTATCCTAATATATAAAAGGACATGTGCGCACTTCTCTCTCTCTCTCTCTCTCTCTCTCTCTCTCTCTCTCTCTCTCTTTCTCTCTTTCTCTCTCTCTCTCTCTCTCTCGCTCTCCCTCTCTGTCCGCAAAATATTTTCGCCGGATATCACATCAGAATCTGCAGCGATATATGAAGAACTTGATACGGACTTTTGTTGAAAATAATATGTTAGATGTACAATTTTATTTAAAGAAGAAAAATAAAAAATAAAGGCATATTCGAATGTAGAAAAACAATTTTAATTATGCAACCGGAAAAGTGTTTATACTTGGGAAAAGAACGCATTTAACAAGGACGTTGCTTATTGCTTACACTAAAAGAGCGCGAAACTAAAGACGTCATCTGCAGAGTTTAGAATAAAAAGAAGTGAACTATTTCATTCAAATATGAAATGTATACAATACGATTTTCTCGGCCTAAACTTATAAAATTCACTTCATCTATTAGGATTCTATAATCTAGATAATATCTAGATCTACAATATTATTCTATATCTAAGCTAGATCTACGCAAAAAAAAAACTAGACGTAGACGCTAAGATCTAGATTCTAGATCTAGATTCTAGATTTAGACTCTATATACTCTAGAACCTATTCGATTAATAAATTTCTATATTAAACTATTTCACGCCTTAATTATTTTATAGACATCTTTGTTTGTTTAGCTATGGAACTGACTAATTAGGGATAAAAAAAAATTAATTTGAAATTCGCGTAAGTTTAGTTTTTTAACTAATCTACGTCTTTGATTCTTCATGTCTCATAAGGTGCCTAAATAGCTGAGATGATAGTGTAATTGATTTTAGAATATAAAGAAAGGAACTATTTCATTTAAATTTGATTTAGATATAGTTCTATAGATCTACTCATCAAGACGTGCGCTATGAAATATATACAATTTTATCGGTCAAACTAAGTCTCTTAATCAGTGTGTGCCGTGTGCATTTAATATGGTGTTCTGTTGACTAATAATGTATATAATTTGGTTTTAATTTTTCGAATGCGTATTGGTAGTCTATGTTATTTTAAATGCGCCGGATTTTTAGCTATTTAGTTATTTCTTTGTTGTCACTAATATCTCAACGTGTAGAGTTGCATTTTGATCACTAACTATTTTATAATTTATTATTTCTAAATATGTATAACATTAAAAAATATATAGGCCTATAATTCACGTGAAACGGGTACCGATGGCTAGTACTTATAAAATGGGGGAAGGGGGGATGGTCCTGATATTTAATATAACTTTAATGTGACTAAGACTGTCATAGTAGTAGACGGGTGACGGCATGGTCACATAAAATAAAAATTTTAAGTCATTAAAAACTTTTTTTGTTGTAAATTTAGTACATCATACATCTAAAAGGTAGATACATACAAACATTAGCGAAGATTGAGAGTAGCGTCATTTTGTTTTCATTTAATATCTTTCAAGACGTAGTATGTTTAAGTTGTATTAGGATGAAAACGTAAACAAATTGTATATCACGTATGTGACACAGAAATCTCAGAAAGTGAGATATTTGGTTTGGCAGGATATTAAAATGCCAGGGTAGCGTGATCATTAAGGCCGTACTACACAAGGTAACCCTACACGGGACTGCACTATGAGAAATCTATACAATAATCGAGGCTTAAGAAATCATGAGAACATTCTTTAACCCAATCCTTTAAGGTAAGCCATAAAAAGTTAGTTAGTTCAAATACGGGATAAATACCAGACGTACAAATAATCCTAAATCCCCCACAAGATCATAGTGCTATAGGCGTAAAAAGAAGTTATTGACACCTGTGTAAAATATCAACAAAAAACGTATCTTTGGCGCGCCCGTCAAGACAATTCTTTATAAGTTCGTTCTCAATAGAAGTAAAAATGTAATATAGCACATTTAGAAAAGATAAATAGGACGTTTAGAAAAGATAAGAAGCTTTCAAACGCTGTGTCATGTTGTGTGTGTTTGATTAATTTATTTTTTTTTATCTACAGTCTATATTTCCCAATAGTTCATAGATTTTTGCAATGAGTTCATTTAAGTTCACAACTTTTCATTGATTAACACACAACTACCAAACATATCACTGTATGTTGAATGTGTAGCAATCTATCACTGTATGTTGTATGTTATGGTAGCCATATATCACTGTATGTTGTATGTGTAGCAATATATCACAGTATGTTGCATGTGTAGCAATATATCACTGTATGTTGTATGTGTAGCAATATATCACAGTATGTTGTATGTATAGCAATATATCACTGTATATTGTATATATAGCAATATATCACAGTATGTTGTATGTTATGGTAGCCATATATCACTGTATGTTGTATGTGTAGCAATATATCACAGTATGTTGCATGTGTAGCAATATATCACTGTATGTTCTATGAGTAGCAATATATCACTGTATGTTGTATATATAGCAATATATCACAGTATGTTGTATGTTTATGGTAGCCATCTAACACTGTATGTTGTATGTGTAGCAATATATCACTGTATATTTTATGTGTAGCAATCTATCACTGTATGTTGTATGTTATGGTAGACATATATCACTGTATTTTGTATTTTATGGTAGCCATCCATCACAGTATGTTGTATGTGTAGCAATCTATCACAGTATGTTGTATGTTTATGGTAGCTTTCCACCTATCACTGTATGTTGTATGTTTATGGTAGCTCCACCTATCACTGTATATTGTATGTTATGGTAGCCATATATCACTGTATGTTGTATTTTATAATAGCCATCTATCACTGTATGTTTTATATATTTATGGTAGCTTTCCACCTATCACTGTTTGTTGTATGTTTATGGTAGCTCCACCTATCACTGTATGTTGTCTGTTTATGACAACTATATGTTTGACTTCTTCTTGTCTATGGTCAAATCATCTTTCATCCATCTATCACACACAGTCATGTTGGCCTATGACACAAGCTATCCTCTACACTTCCTCTTTCATCCCCTCCTCCTATTCCTGATAACATCACACATTTAGTAAATAAACAGAAACGTACTCTCACATTCGCCATTGTTATTCGTAGTTTTCGAGAAAAAAAATATTTTAATATTTTCAATAACTTATTAAGAGAACTGAGTTTGTTTACAAAAATGAAAAGAAAACATGAACATTTTTTTTCCAGGTTTTTTTGTTGTTTCACTGTTGTTCTATAAAATCGATAATTATAATGGACATTTTTTTTTAAACTTTACCAAACAAAAATACATTTTAAAGATAGATCCAAAAATAAATTTGAAAAGAAACGAGTTTATAAATGTGTTGTGGCAAGTTTTAGAAGAGGTTGCTGTTGGAACTACTGCACGCGGTAGGTGTATTTGTAGACACGGTGTTGGTCAAGGTCAGCTAAAAATAAATCCTGGCCGTCTGGTGACGTACACAGGTCATGGATGAGTGATTCGCCGTACTTAGCGATAGTCTGGGGAAAACAAAACACACACGTAAACAATAAAAATAATATAGTTTTATGTTTCTAAAATTAGATTTTAGGCTATTGAAATTTGTCTTCAGGTAAACATATTTAGCACAGCTGAATGCAGGGGGATATTAGGTATGTGGGTGGGTGGGGGGGTCGTTTGGTGGCTTAAGTAGGGTTGTGAGATGATAGTCTAAGTCGCGAATTAAGTTCTGTGTTGGGACATCCACTGAACAACACTGACCAACACAAAAAATGACCACTAGTGATAACGGTGTGATTAGATCAACACTCAACATTCATTGACCAACACCAACCGACTAAAACAAATTGACCAACACACCCTGACCAACGTCCACTAATCAAAACCTACTGACCACCACACACTTTCCAACACACACTGAACCACACACACTGACCCACACACACTGACCCACACACACTGACCCACACACACTGTCCACCAACCACCAACCACCAACCACCACACAAAAGACGACCACTATTGATGTTACCGGTGTGATGTGGGCCCAGGCCATGATCTGCTGACCAGTCAGGCTGTAGGTGTAGGCCCGAGGTGGATACGTCACTCTCCCCCAGTAGCTGATGGGGGTCTGGGAGGTAACTCCAGCGGCGATAATGGCACGGTCTGTGGGGAGTCAAACAAGAGTTACGGTTACTGGGTTCTCACTCTAGGTTTAGCTCTGTCGGTAGACTCTTGTTTGAATATACCCTCGGTATATATATAAAGTATGGGGGGGGGTGCAAATCGAAAGTTTGAGGGGGGATGCTAATCGAAAGTTTGAGGGGGGGGGGGTGCAAATCGAAAGTTTGAGCGGGGTGCAAATCAAAAGTCTGAGGGTGGGGGTGCAAATCGAAAGTTTGTCCCCGGATAAAAATTGGAACCCCCCCCCCCCTTGAGACGATCCTGGCTACGCCACTGTTTGAATGCATGCATATACGATTGAAGTTTAGTATATAAAGTCAAGCTACACGCATTGGCCAAAACACACAACACATACGGACCAACACATACAATAACACACACAACACACACTGACAAACACACTGACGAAAAAACAATGGCCAACACACATAACACAGACTAACCAACATACTCCACAATTACCAACGTAACACCTCATCAATAAACACTTTACCTGCTTTACTGTAATAAACCGCGTAGATTTTCCCCGCCTGATTCTGTGGGATAATCGTCCTGTTAAATATACCAGTTGTTCCCCCTTTCAGTCCAGCATTGTAGCAATTAGCCCTGAGGAACATTTCAGACATGATATTGTTAATATCAGCATTTAAATTTAACTAACCAATATCTTTGTAAATTGGAAACTACCCATTTAGAAAATTCATTGTCTCCCGTTGAATGAACAGATATATAAATTGTATTGTTGGAAGTGGTTTCTTCTTTGGGCCTTATCTGTACGCTGGGTTCGAACTCAGGACTTTTCGGTTTAGCAGCCATGATAAGCCAAGCCAACCCCTAAATAAACAACACCACTTCATCATCTTCTCCCTTTTGTGCACAAGACACATTGGGCACCACAGAAAGCTATTTCGACTTTTGCCAGCAACTTTCTTGGCTGTCCCCCAAGGTAGTCAAGTTTTTGTCAGTTGTTTTTCTGTTGTCCACTCCACGTCTCCCTTGATGTTTGATGCAGCTTAGGTTACAAACAAATCAGTTATGCTGATTCAACTTAATGTTTCATGATTCTGTTTATTATACATTTCTGGGGTGAGGGGTCACATGTCTGTCCTTATACAATAGAGCAAGGCATGTCTGCCGTACTGACCTGCTGCTCTCTCTGTCTGCCACACACACCAGGTCCAGCTCCTCTACCAACGTGATGCTGTGGGCGATGTTTAGTGTGTATGGTGACACGGCTGTGTAGAGCAAACACATTAACAAATATACTTTGTTGACAAGCACGTTAACAAATATACTTTGTTGACGAAATTTTGATTCAACAAAGCTAACAATAATACATTTGTTGACATTTTTCTTCAACTAGGTTAAACATTAGTTGATTTGAAAAAGAAACATGTACTCGCCTCTGTTCAAGGGCACGCCCCACTTGCTGATGACTTGACCGCTGCTTGAGAACTTGATGATGCGGCTGTTGCAGTACCTGGTGACGTCATGTTACCCGTTAGTGTACTTAAATCAATCGATCAATGCTACGAATAATTGCTGACATTGTGGGCTCATTCCATGAACACAACTCCAGTTAATTAAAACAGCTTTGACTTATCCATTAGATTTGTAATTACTTATCCACTAGTAGTGTATTTTGTAATCCACTTATTTTGCAGCCGACATTCGACCCAAGCATGTATCCACCAACCACATCATCAAACATGATTTTACCCGTCAGCAACGAAGAACTCGCCACTGCTGGCTATAGCCACGTCTGCTGGTTTACAGAAGTGTTTGTCGTCACTTCCGGGTACAAACTTCACACCAAGTTCAAGGTCGGGTGTGGTTGCTCCTTTCTTAAACCTGAACACCTGCAACCATAATTAATAGAACTAATACATACACGTTACGTGTTTCCCCTGGTTAATAAAACTATAAGCTAAACACGCGATTTAATCACACGGTGGTTTGTATAGATGTAAATTATTTGAGTCTCCTACCTTTTACGATTTGAGACGCTAAGCACTTCTCGTTCAGGTTTGGTTACATTGATCTTTCAACTGAGTTTTTCAGAAATGTGCCCTTTCAAATCTTACGTTCCGAGGAGCTAGGGACAGAGAGTTCACCTGTTTCTGTAACCTCGGCATATGAAGGGATACTGTCGTCAGAGCTGGGATGTCGTATGGAATCAAGCCTGGGATCCGAACTCGAGACTTTCTGGTTAGTAGTCGAACGCTCTAACATTCAACTACAGACACCGGGATTACCACTCCCAACACCAAGTCTCCCCCCCCCCCTTTTTTTTGACAACCGGATTAAGTCTCGTAAACAGCTAGTCTTAAAGTGCAATATGTGTTAATTCCAAGGATCCGAAAGCAGATGGTGCTATTAGTGTTTGTTACGAGAGAGATCAATGTAAGATTACAAATTGACAAACAAATAATTCTAATAGGTAAGTAAAATGTAGTAACAAAACACAAACAGTATGTTACAGAGGCCTACCTGACCAGTTGCACAAGCCTGTAATTAAGAAACCTACTTGACCAGTTGCACAAGCCTGTAATTAAGATACCTACCTGATCAGTTACACAAGCCTGTAATTAAGAGACCTACCTGATGGCGTCCAGCGTCAGTGACCCAAATGTTGTCCTGACTGTCTATCTTAAGTCCATGCGGCATATTGAAACTGTTATTTAGGATACAGGTTTGGGTTGTAGATGCAAATCAATGGGATATGGATACAAGTTAATTTATTTTGTATGGATACAATCCAATGCGGTTTGGATACAAGTCAATGTGTTGTGGATTAAAATCAATATCCTATAGGTTTAAGTCAATTTTGTGTGGATAAAATTCGCTACGTATGTATCCATGGGGCAACTGTTATGTATAGTCCAATCCAGAATATTATAACGAAAACGTTATTGTCTACCATAGCGTCAGTCTGCTGCCTACTAGACCATGTCCCTACTCACAAATCTTTGCCAAAGCTCGACAGTCTCCGTCCAGTGTTGGGGTCTACCCTGTAGATGGTATCTTGGTTGATGGGGACAAGAGCCGCATTTGATAGGACATTGCTGCCCCGTTTGAAAGTGCTGTTGGACGGAGAGATATTTCAAAACATTTAAAATTTGAAACATCGTTACGCATCAATTATATAAAAACTCAATACTTAATTAAACTAATTAGTTTTTAAGTAGATTACCTGGCATTCCAGGATCTATCACCGCTATGGAAGACAAAGAGATCGCCATTTGAGTCCAGGTCGATGCCTGTTACTGGACCAATACCTTGACCATCAGTGCTAAAGTTTGTAACTTCCACGGGAAGTATTGGCTGAGGAGACACGCCACAGATAAATTAGGTTCATCCGATCTTTCAGAACTCTATGTACGTGTTATTCTAGAGAATATGCGCATTCGAAAAATACGCCAATAAAAACTAATTATACTATTACACTTAAATTTGTCATAATTTGTAGGAAAATGTTTGAGAAGCTACGATGTAGGCCTACACTTGGTCATTCTTTGAATAATGTCTTAGAATTATAAATTGTAAAAACAAATTCCCGAGCGCTTACTTTTGTGCGCAGTTTTTGGGTGCATCTTTCATCCGTTGCGCATTACATGGTAACAGTATAATGTATTTAAAATAATTTTTATACACCATTTGTAGAAAAGTGTTTGAAATGAAAAAAAAGTATGCGAAAAAAAGCTTTGCACTTTAAAAGTCTATAGAAAATATATTAATAAAGGTTATTAATATATATGTGACACAGATTCTTAATGTGTCAATGTATGAATGTGTATATGAAATAAACTATTGAAACAAAACTTACCTGCTGATCAACCACCCTTTTGAATACCCGTACATTTGGATTATTTATCACGGAACCAAGGACAACCGAAGTCAGACACAACTGGATGAACGTCTTTAAGAACATAATTTGTTTTCAAAACCCCCTAAAAAATGGTCTGTCTATTATAAAAAATGTAATTTTTGGATTCATCGACGTACAAAAAGTGGAGAAAATGTTAAACAAGCGTCTTACGTCATTCGAGTTGTCGAAATTGGGACGAAGATTTCTTTGTGCTGACAAAAGCCTCTACCACACAAAAAAACGTACGTGACGAAACAGGGGAGGTAATGCAAACAAATCGTAAGAATTTTTCTTTGCTGTCTTAGAGCAAACATATTGCGAACGTCAGTCAAGTTATTACTAACGTCTATTACCCTTTTTTATATAAAGATTAGTTCTTGTAACAGCTGATTTTCTTTTAAATAATTTGTAAAAAAAAAAAAAAAAAGAAAGAAATGCTCCAAAACAATTGTTGGTATGTATTTCTGATCTCAACTGATATGTTACTAAAAGGAATGGAAATGGAAATCGTCCCAGAAGTAATTTAAAAATAGATGCTAGATGGTCTATGTATTAGGGATGAGACCAGATGAAATTAGACCAAAGATACTGAGCTGGACACCACAGGGTAAAAAGAAGACAGAGTAGTGCACGGGAAACGTTGGGGGGGGGGGGGACAAGCGCAAAAGCAATTGACAAAGGCAGGACTGTCCTTGGGGACTGCCAGAAAATTGCCAGAGACTGGTTAAAGCGGCAAGAGTTTATTGTGGTGGTCCCATGTGTCCTAGGTACTAGAGGAAAAAGATGATGATGTTATGTAGTAGGCTGTTGTATTCATGAAAACAAAATAATATGTTTCCCATTTATTTATTTTTAAATTAATCAAGACAACAATTTATTTATTCTTATTTCATAAAACAATAAAAAGGATTATTTTGGAAAGGCATAGTCATTTTAAAGTTAGTGTGGCTGTGATGTGGGCTTGATTTATATCTCGTTTTCTTTTTTTTAAATTAGACTCTTCAGTCCAACCTTACTTCTCATTCTAAACTTGGGAAAATGGGGAGAGGGGGGGGGGCTACTTGTATCATCCCAATTCCCCCCCCCCCCTCCCTTCCTGGATTACCTTCCTGCAATTAGCCGAGCTCTATTCATGTATTGCTCAGTCAGGAGGACTGAGAGGGTACTCACAACATCCCTGTCAATATCATCACAATCGACTACCCTCTGCTGGCTCCAAAATATCTTTACAGAACTCTACGAGTTTGATGGTGGGAGGGAGGGTATTTATCTCTATATCTTTATATATCAATGTCAATCGAAACTCACACCTCCACCTTGCTTAAGCTGGTGTCTTCCTCCAGTACTTCATCAAATCGGACGAGATCTATCACTTCATTACCCCCCCACACACACACACACACACATACACACACTCAGGAGGTTATGTCATAGATTCGAGTTGTCATTTTGATGTTGCTAAAATATGTTTCAGATTTCATCAACGATCACTGTTTTTGTTAAAGAAAGAAAGTCTATTTTATTTTCTTATTTTCAGTTAATTTTAAAAACGTTTTGTTTTAAAGACTTTTTTTATTATGATTAGCTTTAATTTCGTTCACCACGCCATTTTTTTTGTTAATTGGTATTTGGCAAGTCTTGCAAAACAGTTTTTAACCCACTACTAATGCAGTAATTTAAAGATAAATTGGTCATCGATGAAAATGTACAAATATCTAATTCATAATCTAATTAGATATTAGGTTTGTCATTAAAATGTGATTAAAATATAACTAAAGTTAATAATAAAAGGGGAGATAATAAGATTAAGTACCAGCGATCGCTCGATCAAATATCCAACATTGGTCGTTCATGAAATTATTTACACGTGTTAAAAAATTAATGCTGTTATTTAAGAAACCATTTATGTTTTTGATTATTTTTCAGTGCGTTTAAAAGTGAAAGGATTTTTTTTTCAAAGTAGTAGAATTGATTAAACTTCTTATTTCTGTATAAGTTTATATAACTTGCAGATATCAACTGTCTTTTAATTTTAGTTGTTTTAAAAAGTTAAAGGTATGGTTTACATAGCATATAGCTGTTAAATTCAAAACTCGATAGATCCAGTAACCACCAATTTATTGGCTAACAATTTGATCTAGGTGGGCAATATTACGCTCTTCCACATTTTGTTTTCATCGAAATTTTCAAAACTAACTTTTTCGTCAAATAAAATTTTAGTGGTTGAAATCACCAATGCAGCTGTTTATTTGTAATTTTCATTATCTAAAAAAAATTCTTAACATTCGTAATAAATATTTTCTAAAATTTAGTCATTATTCAAAAATAAAACAAAACAAAAATCAATGTCATTTTAAGATGTTTCATTGTTCTTTATTAAAAATCGATAACATCGATAAATATAATCGAATTTTTTAAAAAAATACTCTTTTTTTTTAACCAAAATCCATCTTTTACCAAATGTGGGTGGAACCAGCTTATAGAGCAGCTAAATGTGTTGGGACATGTTTCTGTTGCAGAAGTTGTTGAAGTGGTCACAGTTGAGCCTACTGCACGCGATAGGTGTATTTATAGACTCGGCGTTGGTCAAGGTCAGCTAAGAATAAATCCTTACCGTCTTTTGACGTGCACAAGTCATGGATGAGTGATTCGCCGTTCTTGGCGATGGTCTGAGGAAACAAAACACACACGTAAACAGGGAAATTAGACCTGGATGCTAGCCAATCAAAATATCTTTAGACTTTAGTTCAGAGAAAATTTAGAGAGGGAGGTAGGCGGTAACACAGTGGTTCGAGGTAAGGCCAGTGTAAGGGTGGTCGTCTTGGGGTTGTGCCCAAGTTATTTTTTTGTTTTGTTTTGCTTGGCAGGGCTCTAAGACTCAAGAGGCCATTTCATTATTAATAAATACACAGAAAGTGTAGAATTATGACGATTAGTCCTCTGTGGTATAGTTGGGTTTCGACGATTTTGGCTATTTTTTAAAATTGAAAAGTGTAACACACACACTTACTGAACACGCACTGACCAAAACACACTGACTGAACACGCACTGACCAACACACACTGACTGAACACACACTGACCAACATACTGATTAACACACACTGACAAACACACACTGATCAACACACTGATTAACACACACTGACAAACACACTGACTGAACACAAACTGACCAACACACACTGATCAACATAGAAAAGATAATGACAAGTAGTGTTACCGATGTAACACGCACACCCACTGACCAACACACATCGACCAAAACAGACCCACACCAACCAACACACAAAAGATGCCCACTAGATGTGTTACTGGCGTGATCTGGTCAACACTCAAAAAACACTGATATACACTGACCAACACACACTGACCAACACACACTCACCCCCCCAACCACACACACATACACAAACTGTCCACCACACAAAATACGACAACTATTGATGTTACCGGTGTGATGTGGGCCCAGGCCATAATCTGCTGACCAGTCAGGCTGTAGGTGTAGGCCCGAGGTGGATACGTCACTCTCCCCCAGTAGCTGATGGGGGTCTGGGAGGTAACTCCAGCGGCGATAATGGCACGGTCTGTGGTGAGTGAAACAAGAGTTACGGTTACTGAGTTCGTACGTCAGCTCACTGGTTGACATTGTTTAAGGCTGAAGTTTAGCTTGTACATTTTTTGACGGTCAATTTTGTGGAAATAAAACATGCATTTATAATTTTAGTTTTAAAGTTAAGCAACACGCATTAATCAGCAACCTCAACACGCATTGATCAACACACACACACAAAGCACACTGACCAATATACACATTATACTTGCTTATCAACACAAACACAATACACATCGACTATACATAGAACACACACAAAACAACACATAACGCTCACAGACCACCTTAATACTTGAACACTTTACCTGCTTTACTGTAATAAACCGCGTAGATTTTCCCCGCCTGATTCTGTGGGATAATCGTCCTGTTAAATATACCAGTTGTTCCCCCTTTCAGCCCAGCATTGTAGCAATTTGCCCTGAGGAACAGTAAGTACAGTATTTATTTGTGATCTCTTATTTCTAGTTTAAGTAAACGACAACTCATTAAATTACAAATTAACCATTTGCAAGGTGTAGTTGTGTCCCCTGAATTAAACAGACAATGTCAAATGTTCAATTTGACTCCAATAAATTGCAAATCAACTTTAATGTTTTAAATTCTTAATAGAACTATGGTGCCTTATAGTGATGGAGATTGGAAACATGCGACTATCAATGGTCTTTAGTCTATAGAGAAAGATACTATGCCCACGATGACGTAGTGAACAATACAATAGGTCAGGGCTAGAGTGACGTACTGACCTGCTGCTCTCCCTGTCTGCCACACACACCAGGTCCAGCTCCTCTACCAACGTGATGCTGTGGGGGAGGTTCAGTGTGTACGGTGACACGGCTGTGGGTAGAGCAAACACATTAACAAATATACTTTGTTGACAAGCACGTTAACACATATACTTTGTTGACAAAATTTTGATTCAACAAAGCTAGCAATAATACATTTGTTGACATTTATCCTCAACTAGGTTAAACATTAGTTGATTTGAAAAAGAATCATGTACTCACCTCTGGTCAATGGCACGCCCCACTTGCTGATGACTTGACCGCTGCTGGAGAACTTGATGATGCGGCTGTTGCAGTACCTGGTGACGTCATGTTGCTGGTTAATGTAGGTGAATCACATGAATATTCTATCATTACTGCAAGCACTTGCAGACTTAGCAAGTTTCATCTTCAACTCAAAATCCAGTTAATTAAATAATTATCGTCTTATCCATTAATTGTGTAATTTTTTTATCCACTAGTGAAGTAATGACTTATCCACTAGTGGTGTAATGACATATCCACTTGTGAAGTAATGACTTATCCACTAATGATGTAGCTATTTATCCACCAATCAAATCTTTCAACATGATTTTACCCGTCAGCTACAAAGAACTCGCCAGTGCTGGCTATAGCCACGTCCGTTGGTTTACAGAAGTGTGTGTCGTCATTTCCGGGGTAGAACTTCACTCCTAGTTCAAGGTCGGGCGTGGTCGCTCCTTTCTTAAACCTGAACACCTGCAACCATCATCAACACCGACAACTTTAACTTTGTTATATAAAACTATAACCTTAATTAAGACATACAAACTTTTAAATATATAGTAATTTTAATTTGTATTTGACAATCACAAAAGCTGGATGATGTGAAGACAGGTTTTTGGATGAACATGTCATGTACAGATTAAATCGCAATACAACAGAACTATGGTTTTCTTTGATTACGGGTAAAAAACATTATTGATAGTGTTGATGAAGAATCTCTCTGGAAATTATCACGGTACTATGTCAACTGTGAAACGAAATTCGCCCTTATTAAAGACTCCTACAGTGGTTTGACATGTCGTTCTGAGGGTCACCGTGCAAACATAACCCGTATACACTGGAGTCCAACAAAGATGTTTGTTGTCACAGTTTCTCCTTCCTCTTGTCATCGACTGGATTATAAAAAACATCCACTAATGGATAAGGGAATTGTATACATTGGACTTCTATGGAATTAGGACGAAGATCTGGACTTTGAGGATGATATTGCATTCTTGCACACAGCCAACAGCAGATACACAGATGTGACAGATATGCTATCAAAGGTCTGTCTTGAAATCCACAAGCAAAAGACGAAGACATGATCAGTAAGAAACATGTGTAAGACGTCTACCTGACATGTTACACAAACGTGTAAGTAAGAGAGACCTACCTTACCAGTTACACAAACGTGTAAGTAAGAGAGACCTACCTGACCAGTTACACAACGTGAAAGTAAGAGAGACCTACCTGATGACGACCAACGTCAGTGACCCAAATGTTGTCCTGGCTGTCTATCTTAAGTCCATGCGGCACATTGAAACTGTTATGTAGACAATCAAGATTTTTTCATTACAACGCATGCTTTAAGTAAATGTTCCCTTTCAAACCTGACAGTCTACGGGGAAAGTGAAGTAGAATCAATTTTACAGTTGTCGTTTTGTGGATATACGTCAATGAGCGAGGTATAGATAATAGTCAGTAGAATGTTGATAAAAGTAATTACGACGTGTATTAAAGTCAGTGGGATATGGATGCAATTTAATTGGATGTGAATACATGATTGGGTCGAGAAAACGTTATTGAGGTGTGGATATAAGCCAACTGTAGGTGGATACAAGACAATGCTGTGTGGATGTAAGTCAATTTTAGTTTATGGGTTGTGGATATCGTCAAATTACATGTGGGTACGAGTCAATGAGCAGTGGATACAAGTCAAAGTTTGTGAACATAAGTCAATTTTATGTGGATACAAGTAAAGATGTTGTGTTGATACAAGTCCATTTGTTTCACCACTTAGATAAATGTTGAGTCTAGAAAATTTTTTGGTCTACCATAGTATCAGTCTACTGTCCACAAGACCATGTCCCTACTCACAAATCTTTGCCAAAACTCGACAGTCTCCGTCCAGTGTTGGGATCTACCCTGTAGATGGTATCTTGGTTAATGGGGACAAGAGCCGCATTTGATAGGACATTGCTGCCTGGTTTGTACGTGCTGATGAAGGAAGAAAACTAGTTTCAAAACTTTGAAATTCCAAACTACTTATCCCCAAGAGTATAAACACTAAATGTGTTAATTAAATTAAGCTACTTAGTTCATTATGTGAAGTTGATTACCTGGTAGTCCAGGGTCTATCGGCTCTGTGGAACACAAAGAGATCGCCATTCGAGTCCACATCGATGCCAGTTACTTGACCAATACCTTGACCATCAGTGCTAAACGCTGTAGCTTCCGCTGGTGGTATTAATATCTGTGGAAATATGCTTCCAGTGTTATACGATTTATATATATATATATATATATATATATATATATATATATATATATATATATATATATATATATATATATATATTTATTTATTTATTTATTTATTTATTTATTTATTTATTTATATATATCGTAGATACCTTTATATCAATGTGTTTATATATATATATATATGTGCAAAAATAAACCTATTGAAGAAAAAAAAACTTACCGGCTGGCTAACCACCCTACGGAATATCCGTACATCAGGATTATATATCACAGAGCCAAGGACAACCGAAGTCAGACACCAGTGAATGAACGCCTTTAAAAACATAATTTGTTTTCAAAACCCCCTAAAAAATGGGAGCCTATTATTTTTAAGTGTCCGTTTTTACACTTTTACATTCAGCACACTTTAGAAGGGGAGAGAATGTTTAACAAGCACCTGACGTCACGAGAGTTGTCGAAATTGGGACGAAGATTTCTTTGTGCTGACAAAAGCCTCTACCACACAAAAAACGTACGTGACAAAACAAGGGAGGTAATGCAAACAAATAGTAAGAATTTTTTCTTTGCTGGCTTAGAACAAACACATTGCGAACGTCAACCGGTGTATCATATAACTTTTATCATTAAAAAATACCAGTTCAAGTAACAGCTGATGGTCTTATACATAAATCTACAATTAATATTCTAATGCAATTTTTTTAAAGATGTTATAAAGTATCATATTGAATCAGTAAGTACGATGTTTTCAAATTTTCAAATTTTAAAAATTGAGCACATTGTTTTTATATTGATAAAACAATACATGTTTTATACTGCAGAACTGTTTAAAAATAAATGCGGACGTTACGTGTTTTTTACTTAATCAAGTTTTAAAGTTTAATAAAAAAAATTAGGGCCTACACAAAGCATGTCTGCTTGCCTTAATAAAGTCATGATATGTAGGTCACGTGTGTAGTGTTAAGCACACGATTGCAAAATGGAAGTTTTTAAACGTGGACAATTTTTGTTATTTTTGTTTGTTTGTTTGTTTGTTTGTTTTTTTTTTTTTTTTTTTTTTTTTTTTTTTTTTTTTTTTTTTTTTACAATTCATTGAATGTTTTGCTTGCTCACTTGCTGCAAAGTAATATTTTGTAATGATCTCAAGGTAGTGACCTTGTTAAATTGGATGCTTTTGTGAGGCTTACATGTGTGTGACGTCAGACAGGTGTGCTGCACCTGTGTGCTGTGTCAAGATCAATTAATGTAATCAACACAAGGGTCGACAGATACAGATCAATAGTTGTAGGGGATGTGTGTGGAATGTGGGGGAGTATGCTTTTGGGGGGGGGGTGGAAGGTGCGATTGAGGGGGAATAGGGTTATGGGAATATAAGAGGTGTGGTTGTGGGGTATAGAGGTAGTCGGGAATGTGGTGTATGACTGTAGGGGAGCTGGGTTATTGCGAATGTAAGGAGGGGTTGTTTTGATGGTGATATTGAAGGGAATATAAGGGGTTGTTGTGAGACTTAGTGGGGAGTGTGGGATGTGATTATAGGGAAGTGGGATTGTAAGAATTGTGTTGGGGTCTGAGTGTGGGGAATTATTTGTGTTTTAGAGGGTGTACCGAAATAATACTTTGATTTTAGTATTGTATATACGGGTGAACTTTGTTCTTTTTTTTTTTTTTTTTTTTTTTAAAAGGTATTGCTTAGTTAACGCTAGGGCTAGTTGTAGAGTTAGGTTTAGGGTTAAAATAAGTGCTAAAGTTAGCGTTAGGTTTAAAATAAATATTTTATTTTTTTAAACACCAAATGGAGGTATTTCGACAAAACGGTAAATGTCCAAAATTTCAAACTACCATTTCCCCAGTACGTTCTAGACTCGTTTTAGGGTATGTGCTCATGATGTGAGGGCGTTTTAACGTGTCTGAAGAATGTCTTGGCATATGTTTGTTTTCCTAATTTAAAAAAAAAAATAACAAAAAACGTCAAATAAAATTGAATTAAAAATCTGTATATACTTCAACAAGAACACAAACCTAATGCCTCACATACATGGATTGTCGTCCCTGGACAAAACGTATGATAAAATGATGAAGAAAAACACGACCAAAACATCGCATAAAGAAACGTTTATAGGTACGTGCTGTAGTGTGGCCAGGAGTAAACAATACAGTAAATAAGGGATCTTGTGTTTGTTTCTAAGTACACGTAGTAATAAACTTGGCTTTGGTGTCGCGGTATTGATTGTATACACCATTTTATGCACTTGGTTGGAGGATTGGGCTGTAACAATTGTATGTGTACACACACTCGTATACATGTGTGTGTGTGTGTTTGTGTGTGTGTTTGTGTGTGTATGTGTGTGCGTGTATGCCTTGCTGCTGTCATATCAGCTAAAGGTTTCTTTTATAAGATAATATCTTTTAAAATTTTAGAATAATTTTTAATATAAACTTTTATTTTTAATTATAGAATATTTTTGAATATATTTTTTTTAAATTGTAGAATAACTTTGAATATAAAATATTTTTTAACTTTTAGAATAATTTTGAATAAAAAATCCAAAGCTAACACATGAACACAGAGAAGAAAAAATAAATTGTTTAAAGTCGTGTTTAAAAATAACAATTTTTAATTGACTGTCAACAAAGCAGCACAAAAATACAGGGTTTACAGTAAATCAATGATCATCACAAGTAGTAAAATAATTTAAAAAAACAGTTTCGCCAACTATAATAATATATCCACATCATTTTTTTTCAATATTTAGTTACATTTTTTTCTTTTAAATTATTATTTCACTTTTTAAATGTTTCTGATCTCAATAGAAATCAATTTTTTTTTTAAATTTCAATAACGGAAGAGATAGTTTGTATTTGCCGAAAGCGGTTAGGGAGATTGCAGGTAGACAAGATCGTTACAGATCTCGCGAGAGTTGCCTGTGTGATCTACCGTTGTTATCGGGCCAGCCATCGGAGTATTGTCCATTAGAACGTGTTTTCTCATCTATTTATAGATTGCAGTAACACAACTATGTGTGTGACATTTTTTTAATGTTTGGTAACTCGGTCAATGTAATTTAATTACGAATACAATTTGGAAGAGAAAGGGGGGGTAGGGGGGTATCTGGGGAAGAAAAGAAAACTGTTTGTCAAAAAAAAAAAATTTCACTAGAGAAGTTTCAGTATTAAGTTAGGATTTTTTTATAACCAATTTTTAATGTTACATTTAGTTTACTGATGGTTTTAGCTGCAATTGAATTTTAATAATATTAATTAAATCTTTAGTGAGGTAATTCATGTTTTTATTATTATATCAGAGTAAACAATACGTATATTTCTATTATATCATAGTAAACAATACGTATATTTCAGCTTAACATTACATAACGAGGCTCGCTGTAGGGTTGATGCTCTCGAGAAATTTAAAAATAGATATCACGTGACACAACAGCTGGGTCTACACGACTACAACACTACACATTGGACAAGACAACATGTATTAGAGATGGTCTATGTATACGTTATCCAGACTTTTGATGTCTCCGCATAGATCGTAAAATTTTCAAAGAATCAGAACATGGGTGCAATAATCAGCTCTCGTTTTTTGTTTACAGTTTACAGATTTACTTCGTAATTCTCATGTTGTTTTTAGATTTCCGTATATGGTGTCAACATTAAATTGGAATGCAAAGTCGTCTTTCAGTAGAGCCCATATTTTTAGTGATGTCATATTGCTCAAAACTTCAAAGAAGCATTACTTTTTAAACTATGAATTTTGCTTTAAAATTATGAGCATGTTAAGATTTATCCCAATGATAAAAATTCGGTTGAATGATTCATAATATGGGCTAGATAGCATAAAAGGTTATACACAACTTTATATATATATATATATATATATATATATATATATATATATATATATATATATATATATATATATATATATATATATATATATATATATATATATATATAAGCTGTCTGATAATCATTAATTTGAAGAATGTCTTAAAAATTAAAATGGTAGTCGTTTGAATTCCGTCTTTATAAATTACAAAGTTGACTAAAAAAACGTCCGCTGGAGATTTCTGTATCAATTTTATCAAATAAACGAACAAAAACAATTTCAAAGCTTTTCGTGTTTAGGTCCTCTATACAATGCGCTGTTTAATAATCAGTTGCTTTTTTTCTGCTTTAAGCTCCGGCGCTTAACCAACAATGGACGGCCATTTCTTTGAGTATTTGTAAACTTTCTGCTGGTCAAGATCTGCCAAGAAGAAATCCTGTCCATCTCTTGAGGTGCAAAGGTCATGGATCAAGGACGGTCCATTTTTAGCGACTTCCTGTTAAATAATGTTAACAAAGGATTCATCAACAACTAAACACATTATTAATTATATTAATTAGTTGTAGTATATAATTAATTTAAATGCGAGTGCTATATATTTTTTTTAAATTTATATATATATATATATATATATATATATATATATATATATATATATATATATATACATATATATATATATATATATATATTTATATATATATAGGCCCTATATTTATTTATTTATTTATTTATATATCAAGTTTATATATATATATATATATATATATATATATATATATATATATATATATATATATATATATATATATATATATATATATATATATATATATATATATATATATATATATATAAGCTCTAACCAGATCCACCCCTAGCTCCATGTCTGCCTTACCGGTGTGATGTAAGCCCATGAATTGAGCAGACGACCCTCGAGGTCATAGGTGAAAGCTCTGGACGGGTAGAAGGGCAGACCCTCCTCCATGGTTGGGATGTCAGACAGGAGACCCGCGGCCACCACTTCCTGCTCTGTGGGTAAACACGGAAGTGACGTGAATTTTTATAGGTCACAAAATACAGTTATAAGATCACAGTGTGATTGCTTTATATTTTGTTTAAAACATATTTGGTCAATTTAGACTGTGCTCCTGTATAGCTTAAAGCCAGTGTTATCAAGTTATACCACAGTCGAGTAATCTTTAAATCCACTGTTCACGTTTAGACTAAACTGCTATACCGTCTACCCAGCCGTTTCCCTGAGTATAACACTTCAGTAGAAGACATCAAGACTAACCTGCTTTACTGTAGTAGATGACGTAACAAGAGTATAACACGTCATTAGAACCATCAAGACTTACCTGCTTTGCTGTAGTAGATGGCGTAAACTTTTCCAATGTCCATCTGTGGTATCAGCGTCCTGTTGAAGTTGCCTGTGGTGTTGGCGTTCTTGAGGCCGGCGTTGTAGCACAGCGCTCTGAGGAAAGACAGACATTTTTTTACGTTTTTAAATTTTGGATGAATATTTTCCAGCCTTGTTATAAAATTACCGGTGCCTCAATTAATTAAATATATTAATAGGCTGAGTGTGAGTAGCGCTCGACTGCTTGTCCGACGGTCCAGAGTTCGAATCTCTGTCCGGACTCGTGAATCTAGAACGTCCTTGAGTATACCCAGCTTTGTATTTTGACTTGTTAGAAAAAGTAAATGCGACTGGGCAAAGTGCTGACCACACCATCACTTTATATGTCAACACAAGGCCGTCAACTTCTTGGTCCTCAGTTCAGGTCAAGTCTAACAAAATCAGGCTTGGTATTCAAACTAGAGACTACCCGGACAGATACCTTACACACTACCACCACCTACCTCCCCACAGAGACCATCTGGATAGATACCTTACACACTACCACCACCTACCTCCCCACAGAGACCATCTGGACAGATACCTTACACACTATCACCACCTACCTCCCCACAGAGACCATCTGGACAGATACCTTACACACTACCACCACCTACCTCCCCACAGAGACCATCTGGATAGATACCTTACACACTACCACCACCTACCTCCCCACAGAGACCATCTGGACAGATAACTTACACACTATCACCACCTACCTCCCCACAGAGACCATCTGGACAGATACCTTACACACTATCACCACCTACCTCCCCACAGAGACCATCTGGACAGATACCTTACACACTACCACCACCTACCTCCCCACAGAGACCATCTGGACAGATACCTTACACACTACCACCACCTACCTCCCCACAGAGACCATCTGGACAGATAACTTACACACTACCACCACCTACCTCCTACACCCTCTAATAACCTAAACCCGTGTTGGTCCGTCCAACCAAAACCACCAAATTTAAAACCCCACCGGTGCCGATATTCGCGTTAGTTCCATTAAGATACCAATAAACATTCGCCGACTCCCTAGACAACAATTATTTACAACCCCCCCCCCCCCCCAACCAAATACAGAGCTGGACTGCTAACCCGTAAATCTCGAGTTCGAATCCGGGTTCAAGTCAGCAGACCGCGCCTGAGTCCACCCAGCTCTGATGGGTACCTAACTCACATTAGGGAAAGTAAAGGCGGCTGTTTTCAGGTTTGAAAGGGAACTTCACTTAACCAAATACAACCCAACGCACACACATATCAGATGCTATTATATTCAGTAGCAATCCTCGGGGATTTTTTTTTCTAATCAATCAAACATTGAACAACGACAGCTGTAGGAATATGACATAACCATCTGGTGTATTGTCTTCACATATTGTCACTGTATGTGTTTGACGCTGTTCTTTGTATATGTGGTACACATATAGGGCAGACATATTGCTCAGTCACAGCCGGACATAAAATTACCTTCCACATAGGAATTATGTTCATATGTTGTATTTCAAAGAAGAAACAATAAGAACATTTAGCTGAACAGGTTGTTTCAGTATAACGCTTGGTTTTTTTTGTTTTTCGGCGGTTCATAAAATAAATACGAACGTCATTAAATAGCGGTTGACTGGAGACGGCGTGACCGGTCGCACAGCGCAAGATTACTCACTCCAAAAGTTCCAAGTTCGGACCCCGGGCAGATAAGGCTCGTTAGCTTGGGACAACAACCCATATAGAAATGTAAACACTAAAATAAAATAAAATGGCGCCAAGCTAAAGTCGGGATCAACGGGCAGTATGGCGTATAACTTGTTGAAACGTAATACCAAATTGTACTGCATGACTTCAGTATTACATGTAAGAACGATGAAGAAGAAGTGGTTGAGAGAGAGGGGAGATAACCCATGGGAGACTTACCTTCCATTCTCACGGTCAGCCACACAAACAATGTCCAGCTCTTCAATCAGGGTGATGCTGTGGGGGATGGTCAGTGTGAAGGGGGTCAGGTCACCTGAAGACAGATCAAAATCACAATCTAGAACGCTTGTGTTTTGGTTTTTTATTCGGTTTTCTTTTTCTTGTTTGATGTTTTAATTTTTTACTATTCTGTCAGCTTTCTTTTTCAAAATTATAATAGTAATTATAGTGATTTTAAAAAATCCTAGTAACTCTTATAACCTGGATTTGAACCCAGATCTAAAGCCTCTTACCGCTGGTTCGACGTGTGCCCCATTGTGTGAGTACTTGACCACTGCTCGAAAACTTGACCACACGGCTGTTACAGTAGCTGGTGAAACAAGTAAACAAACGTTAATCAGTGAGGTGGAATGGGGGGGGGGGGGGAAATCATCCTTGTCACATGCCATCAACCAACCAATCAGAAACCAGTACTCTATTTTCTGCTTCTCATCAAACCGCCTGAGTTATGAGAAATTCTTGATTGAGATTTATCGATCTCCGATATGTTTATCTATAGCAGATCAGATCTCGCCTGGGCAGCAGATGGCTGATGTCCGTCTACTCTAAAGCACTTTACCTCGTATCTTTTTTACAGCCAGTGACAGCCACAGATTTCTTAGCGTTAGGTTCGTGTACTTTTTGGTACTTGGTGCACATGTATTCCAGGATTTTATTGTATCTTTACCCTATACATTATACATCTTTGGCCGTAATAAGTCACATTTTATCTAAGTGTAAACCTCATCCAGATTTAGTTTTTAAAATTTTACCTACACAAATGTAAGAAAAGTTTATCCAGGTGTAGGATATAGTTTACACAGATGTAAGAAAAATTTACATAAATTAAAGAAAAAAGGTTTACACATGTGTAAGTAAATTTTTACGTAGATGTAAGCTAATGATTACATCGATGTAAGAAAAGTATACAGATGTATTCAAATGTTTTTACAGATGTACCCAAACGTTTATACAGATGTAAGCAAATGCTTACAGAGATGTAAGTAACATGCTTACCCGTCAGACACAAAGAAGTCGCCGTTGCTGGCTATGGCGACGTCCGTTGGTTTACAGAAATGGGCGTTGTCGTTTCCGGGTACAAATTTTTCACCAAGTACAAGGTCCGGAGTAGTGGTTCCTTTCGGAAATCGCAATACCTGTCAGGGGAGAGAATTCAAACATAAAATAAAAGAAGCTTTTCTTGACTACGTATTGTCATTAATTAGAGAGCTTAGGTTAAAAAAAATAACACGTTGGTTGAAGTAACTGTTTACATTTATTAAAACTTTTCAGTTGATCATTTAATCTCGTAGAGCACATATTACAAAGGACGAACCTGGTGGCGCCCAACATCGGTGACCCACATGTTGTCGTGGGCGTCAAATTTAAGTCCATGGGGGACGTTGAACCTGCGGGTCATTTCAGCAAAATATTGTCAGTAGTTTGTGGGGAGTCATGTCAGTAGTTTGTGGGGAGTCATGTCAGTAGTTTGTGGGGAGTCATGTCAGTGGGGAGTCATGTCAGTGGGGAGTCATGTCAGTGGGGAGTCATGTCAGTGGGGAGTCATGTCAGTGTGGAGTCATGTCAGTGGGGAGTCATGTCAGTGGGGAGTCATGTCAGTGGGGAGTCATGTCAGTGGGGAGTCATGTCAGTAGTTTGTGGGGAGTCATGTCAGTAGTTTGTGGGGAGTCATGTCAGTAGTTTGTGGGGAGTCATGTCAGTAGTTTCTGGGGAGTCATGTCAGTGGGGAGTCATGTCAGTGGGGAGTCATGTCAGTAGTTTGTGGGGAGTCATGTCAGTAGTTTGTGGGGAGTCATGTCAGTAGTTTGTGGGGAGTCATGTCAGTGGGGAGTCATGTCAGTAGTTTGTGGGGAGTCATGTCAGTAGTTTGTGGGGAGTCATGTCAGTAGTTTGTGGGGAGTCATGTCAGTAGTTTGTGGGGAGTCATGTCAGTGGGGAGTCATGTCAGTGGGGAGTCATGTCAGTAGTTTGTGGGGAGTCATGTCAGTAGTTTGTGGGGAGTCATGTCAGTGGGGAGTCATGTCAGTAGTTTGTGGGGAGTCATGTCAGTGGGGAGTCATGTCAGTGGAGAGTCATGTCAGTAGTTTGTGGGGAGTCATGTCAGTGGGGAGTCATGTCAGTAGTTTGTGGGGAGTCATGTCAGTGGGGAGTCATGTCAGTAGTTTGTGGGGAGTCATGTCAGTGGGGAGTCATGTCAGTGGGGAGTCATGTCAATAGTTTGTGGGGAGTCATGTCAGTAGTTTGTGGGGAGTCATGTCAGTAGTTTGTGGGGAGTTGTGTCAATAGTTTGTGGGGAGTCATGTCAGTAGTTTCTGGGGAGTCATGTCAGTGGGGAGTCATGTCAGTAGTTTGTGGGGAGTCATGTCAGTAGTTTGTGGGGAGTTGTGTCAATAGTTTGTGGGGAGTCATGTCAGTAGTTTCTGGGGAGTCATGTCAGTAGTTTGTGTGAGAAGTCATGTTTTAATACAAAGATGACTAGTAATTATTTAACAAATGTAACTTTTAATGAGTTAATGCCATACTGATTTTTTTAGACTGAAATAATTGTTTTTTTTACATAATTTATTAATTAACGTATGCCTTGTTAATTTTATTGGACTATTATCCAAAGCAGGGGCGTAGCGAGGGGGGGGGGCGGGGGTTGCGGACCGCACCGGTTGACACCATTTAGGGGGGTGACACCAAGGCAAAAAATAGCAAAATATATAGAGAAAAACTTGAGGGGGGTGCAAATCGAAAGTTTGAGGGGGTGGGGGTGCAAATCGTAAACTTGGGGGGGGGGTGCAAATCGAAAGTTCGAGGGGGGTGCAAATCGAAAAAATTTGTCCCCGAGAAGAGTCGCTACGCCTCTGGGGGGTGACACCATTATGTGCCGCACCGGGCGACACCCGACCTCGCTACGCCACTGATCCTTAGCTATCTGACAGGTTTTATTTAATAAAAAAAAATAAGTTCCTTTTTCGAAGCTGACGGTCCATGAGAAAAGTGAAGTAGAGTTCACTTGTTTCTTTGACCTCATCCTATGAAGGGATAGTGTGGTCATGATTATACCCAGCCGCCTTTATCGTGACTTTCGGCTTAGCAGTCTAGCGCTCTACCGTTAGGCCACGTCATCCACATTTCTCAACTGGGAATATGTTTTTGATCTTAGAAGCTACAAACATACAAATAACGAAAACTTAAACAAGCAAAAAAATGACTTACATGTCTTTTCCGAAACTGCTTTGTATACGACCAGAAGCTGCATCTACCTTCAAAATTGTGTCTTTGTTGATGGGGACTTTAGCGGCGTCAGTAAGGATGTTAGTCATAGGCTGATAGGTTCTGTAATCAGGGAAGTAATAATGTTAGTCAAAGGCCGATATGTGATGTAATTAGGAGAGTTAGGACATTAGTCAGAGACCGATATGTGATGTAATTAGGAGAGTAAAGACGTTAGTCAGAGGCCGATATGTGATGTAATTAGGAGAGTTAGGACATTAGTCAGAGACCGATAGTTGTTCTAATCAGAGAAGTATGTTAGTCAGTGGCTGATATGTGCTGTAATCAGGAGAGTAAAGACGTTAGTCAGTGGCTGATAGGTTCTGTAATCATGAATGTAAGGATGTTAGTCAGTGGCTGATAGGTTCTGTAATCAGGAATGTAAGGATGTTAGTCATTGGCTGATAGGTTCTGTAATCAGGAATGTAAGGATGTTAGTCAGTGGCTGATATGTGCTGTAATCAGGAGAGAAAAGACGTTAGTTAGAGGCCGATAGATACTGTACTCATCGCAGTCATTAAATGGTGAATTTGCATTTTAAAAAAAACAGTCTATTCTAGACTACTAGAACCCTATTAGACAAGTTGGCAAGTACTAGGAAATAGTGTACGCACAGATCCAAGGCCTACTTTCGAATATTCGTGAAATAAAAAAAAAGGATGAACTTACTCAGAGTTCCAGGGCCGATCGGCACGATGAAAGACATAAAGGCCGCCATTTGAGTCAACATCAACACCCGACACCTGGCCGATACCTTGATCGTCTGTGTTGAAGGTCTGGTCCTCGAGTGGTATTACCTGCTGTTGTACCAGAACATTTGGTCAACAGAGTTGTCCTGTTCACCCCTGACCCCCCCCCCCCTCCCCCAATCCCCACAACCATCTATCTATCTATATATATATATATATATATATATATATATATATATATATATATATAATTCTCTTCTTGGAGACGCTAGAAAACACCAAGCTGTAAGCGAGCTCCCTACCACCCCCACCCCTACATGGTCTGGTGAGCTGTGGTTCACGCTAAATGTTTACAATCGTAGAGCCGGGTTTAGTGACGGCTACTAGGGCCAGATAATTTAGTTTGAAACGATTTTAAACTTAGGGGAGGTAACTAAGAGGAGGCTGCTTTCACGGGGGGGGGGGGTTAGGGGTTGGGGGAAAGGAGGGTGGGGGTAGTATCATCCTTAACGACTTACTGATAGTGTTTTAAAGCAAATATTTTCAGTGGCAGCATTGGTACTGTCGAATTCACAAATTATGAATTACTGAAAAGTAGAAAATAAAACAACTAAATAGCGGCGTATGATACGCCGCGGGTCGGCTCGTTCTTTTGTATTTAGTTTTAAAAGTTCTTGATGTGTTTTATATTGTCGTGTTTTCACCACGAAGTAAATTGACCAAAGAGAGTAGCACAATGCCTGTCCATCATTACTTTTTCCCCAACTACAGCTAGGTACCGATTAAAGCTGGGTGGACTCAGACAGACTAGAACCATTGAACGAAGCTAAGGACCTTAGTGTTATTAATCTTGCGCGATACCATTTGACTACTCTGTTGTAGTTAGGCTATTTATAGACAATTCATTTAAAAATACGACCATGTTTTTTTGTTAGAGAATAGATGATTAGACAATGAATTATAAAAGTTATTAATTATATGATACAAATAAGTCGATATTAATAATAATAAATTATCAATATAGATGATACGATTTAAGAGTTGCCTTTATAGGGCCATCATCAGAGATATAAAATTGAAGCTTAAAATATGAAATGACATACCGTAAGGAAAAGTAAAATAAAGATATACACAACTGAAGGTGAATAGGGGAAAAAATGATACGGAAATGACATAGCTAAAATGGGAAATAATGGTACAGATAGAAATGTAAAAGTGAAGAAGAAAGTGGTATAAAGGGAGATAACGTTATTGAATGGAAAATATGAAAAAGGCGGTCAAGATAAAGAAATGTAGTGGTACCTATCTGGAAACATCTATATGGTCTGTGTTTTAGAATAAAGGCAATACCTGCTCGGCTGTCCGCTGCAGCAGGTACTCCTCCATCTCTTGGGCTCTCCAATCGTCGTCAAAGTAAGGATTGGCACTGGCCAGGCAGACCAGGGTCAAGGTCAGCAGTAGGGACCTCGTCATGACTGGTGGATAAACACAACACAGACCTCATTAAGATAAATGGATAAACAGAACACCAACCTCATTAAGATAAATGGATAAACACAACACAGACCCCATCATGACTGATGGATAAACACAACACAGACTCCATCATGACTGATGGATAAAAACAACACAGACCTTGACTGATGGATAAACACAACATAGACCTTGTCTGATGGATAAGTACAACACAGACCTAATCATGACTGATGGATAAACACAACACATATCTAATTATGACTGGTGAATAAACACAGACCTCATCATGACTGAAGGATAAACACAACACGAACCTCATTATGAGTAATGGATAAACACAGACCATGACTAATGGATAAATACAGACCATATCACGACTAATGAATAAACAATATACAGATCTTATCATGATGATGGATAAACAAAACAGATCTCATCATGACTGAAGGTTAAACACAACATAGACCTTGACTAATGGATAAGCACGACACAGACCTAATCATGACTCATAAATAAACACAACGTATCTCATCATGACTGCTGGATAATCACATCGCATAGTCTCAATTACTTTATGTAAGCTGGTTAAACCACACTTATAAAAAAATTTACTTACAACAATATAACCCCATCTCAAATCACACTTGTTAATTCATCAACTCAATCCAAACATTGACATGAAATTTTACCCTCAGTTTTTCCACCTTATCATAAAGACTTCGTCATGTAATTTTAGTTCCACTACACGCAGATAAGATAGTAAACATATGTCTGCCTTACCTTTCAAATCAAATGAACTCAGCAGACAGAAAATAGACCACAGACTGTTCTTACTGCGATCGCCTATCTACTGTTGTTCCACGTTCATTGAAAAAATATGTCCGTCCGCAAAGCCCTAATTTGCATAAAATATCACCCACGTAATTGCCAACGACCAGATCGATGAATGCCAGAAATATACACGCCATGGGAGATAAGAGTATCGATTTTCGTCGCCCCTAGCAACGGCTGATCGATAGTACCAGACTTCGAGGCGCGCGCGAGGCGTTACATCGGGTTGATAGAGAATCAAAACGCGGCAAATCAAAGAGAGATAACTGTAATATATACTGGAAAGGGAAACAACTTTTTATTGATAATGCTTACACTGTACCTAGAAATTGATTATACGTAAAGTTTCGAGATTGTTTATGTTCTTTCTTTCTTGTTCACGTTGAGCTAAATAAAATTGTCTTTTTTTTCTAGTTCTAATTGAGCTAAAAATGATTGGATGTAAGTGTGTAGAATACGCAAGATACAGATAACTGAGAACAAACATCGATATACACCACGGAGTAGTAAAAAAAACAAATCTCTTCCTCCACGATCATTCTGTATATAGCCTCAGTAACAGCTGTTTATATTGGTATTGTTTTTTTTTTTATCAGGCGAGGCAGTTCAATTAATTGTAACATAACTACAGCAACAAAAAATGTTTCTAACTATCTTTGCTGAGTTCAGGAAAATTAGTTTTGGTTTTATACAGGTCTACTTGACATATACACGCTATGTTCAGAATGATGTAATGACATTATACACATTATACTTTTAATTAAGACAGCATCGTACTGTACACATTATGATTTAAATTACATAATAAAATAAGGTTTCACTTTATCCAATTATATAGTAATGCTGTGTAACCAGACCGTATTACATATTATATATTGTGTTAAACATAGATACCAATTGCATAAGGTGTTTAATCTGATCCAGTTACAAAGTAAATATGGTGTTTACAAAATGCAGTTTCATTGTTATGATTGTTTTTTAAACATTTCAAGTAGGTAGGCAGTCAATGTAACAATGTCGGCAACTTTGATCAAATGTCTTAGTTGAACTTTTTTTTTGGTCACATTAGGTTGGTTGTCACATTAGGTTGTCACATTAAGTTGTCACATTAAGTTGTCACATTAAGTTGTCATATTAAGTTGTCACATTAGGTTGTCACATTAAGTTGTCACATTAAGTTGTCACATTAAGTTGTCACATTAAGTTGTCACATTAAGTTGTCACATTAAGTTGTCACATTAAGTTGTCACATTAAGTTGTCACATTAGGTTGTCACATTAGGTTGTCACATAAGGTTGGTTGTCACATTAGGTTGTCACATTAGGTTGTCACATTTGGTTGTCACATTAAGTTGTCACATTAGGTTGTCACATTAAGTTGTCACATTAAGTTGTCACATTAAGTTGTCACATTAAGTCGTAACATTAGTTTGTCTCATTAGGTTGTCACATTAAGTTGTCACATTAGGTTGTCACATTTGTTTGTCATATTAGGTTGTCACGTTAGGTTGTCACATTAGGTCGTCACATTAGGTCCCACATTAGGCCCCACATTAGGTCCCACATTACGTTGTCACATTAGGTTGTCACATTACGTTGTCACATTAGGTTGTCACATTAGGTTGTCACATTAGTTTGTCACATTAGGTTGTCACATTAAGTTGTCACATTACGTTGTCACATTAGGTTGTCACATTAAGTTGTCACATTACGTTGTCACATTAGGTTGTCACATTAAGTTGTCACATTACGTTGTCACATTAGGTTGTCACATTACGTTGTCACATTACGTTGTCACATTAAGTTGTCACATTAAGTTGTCACATTAAGTTGTCACATTCAGTCGTCACATTAAGTTGTCACATTAAGTTGTCACATTTGTTTGTCATATTAGGTTGTCACATTTGGTTGGCACACTGGGCTGTCACACTAGACTGTCACATTAGACTATCACACTAGACTGTCACAACTGACTGACACAGCCTACTACCACGACGACAACTTAATTCCCCGTCCAGAAATAGACCGAATCAAGTTGTCAAACAGGCTGTAATTAAAGACTTTTACCCAGAAGCCCTCGCTCTAATCGGATACCTGATGTTCAGTTCGTACTGAGTTAGCGACTTTACCAATCATCATCAACATTATGTTTGTGGTTCGGTGGGGGGGGGGGGGGAGAGAGAGACTTATGTGAATCATTTCACGTTGTAATTTTTTGTTTTGTTTCGTTTGTGTTTTTTAATATAAAGTTATTAAGTAAAAATTATAGAATTATTTTTAGCAATTATTTGTGCCAATAAGTTAACGCCACAGTTTGTGTAATTACTTTCGCGTTGTTGCGATTAAATCAGGAGCGGGGTACCCTTTTAAACCTTCAGGAGAACATCAGATAATATTCTCTTCAGGGAGAAAAAAAATCGATGTTTGAAGTGAAGGTTTTTGGTACGGATAGGATTATGGTTATGGCTACAGCTAAAGAAAGGTGGTGGATTACATATTGGATTAGTCTTGACATGAATATGTTAACAGCTTTGTATAGTATTAGCTGCTGAAAACCCCCTTTAAAAGTAGTCAGTTTTGAAAGTTTTTTTGGGGTTTTGTTTGGTAGTGGTATGGAAAATGCCCCGGATATCTATTAGACTGAATAGTGAGTAGCGCAGCATGACAACATTGCAATTGTCATGAGTAGACCTCCCTCCGTTCAGTGTGTGTGTGGGGGGGGGGGTGATGCTGTGTCCTCCCTTGTCTACCTCCCTCCATTCAGTGTGTTGGGGGTGGGGAGGGGGGGGGGTTATGCTGTGTCCTCCCTTGTCTTGACATCACAGAGTTCAACGGGCAGCCCCCGACGTATCTTCCCGAACTGGCACGTTACCATGGTTACCCGAGAAAATCGATGGTGCCTGCCGTTGTCTCTTAGCGGGTTGATGTAGCTTCCAGCTAAACCAACATTTCGGGACGGTGAGGGGGAGAAGGGGGGGGGGAGGCGGAATGCCAATGTAGGGGTGTGTCAATAATGTCCTCCCATACACATACGCACACTAGCAATAACATACACAATCGCGTACTTAAAACAATCATATCAAATGGTTGAAAGGTTGTTTGCAACTCTTAATATAGAGAGTAGTGAACTAAATTACATGTTAAATGACGTAAAAAGTATCAAATTTTATACAACTGTGATTGAAATTATTTCTTGAAATTTTGAAACAATCACAATCTCTTCATTCTAGGAAAAAAAAATACATTAATGTGGTATTATACAGCCTAAGCTTTTAACTTAATCTGAAATTATAGCCTATCCTCCGGTAAAAACATCCATAACCGAACTAAAAGCTGAAAAGTGTTACGAAAAAGTTCCGGCTGTTATTAAGTATACAAGTATTCTTGCGCGACAACCATAGTCAGGAGGATTTCGTAGACATGCGCAACAAAAAATAGCGCGTTATCTGTCTATTTTTTTTAAGTGCCAGAAGGGGATCTGTCGTAGTGTCACTCACCATTCCACATCACGGAAAGGGGAGAGAGGAAAACAAAAGTTAACGTTTGCAACTTCTCTACTCACTATAAGACTCCACTCATTTTTTGTGCACGTTTGGAATTATTGACCAGTCGTTGAAATTCCTGCCGACTAGCTGTATTTGCAGATTCTGTTTTGCGAAAAGTTTTTGTCATATTTTCTTAAGGATTGCCTTTGTTTGACGTTTCGCTTCAGAAAAAAATGGTAAGTATTTGTGTGTATTTTGAAACCGTTTGATGGAATATTTAAAAAAAAAATATTTAAATATCGGCTCACTATGCTTGTTGCAGGTGATTTTTTTTTGTTTATGGATATGATGTTAGTTTGCATGTCTATCCAGAAATGAAATACAACTGAAATAAGGCCCTGTTTGTTTGGTCTGTTAGCAGGTCGTATATCCTTGACTTATCCTTACTATATTTAGTAAAGTGTTGTGAAAAGTCGACTTAGGTATTTGTCTTCAAACTATATTTTTTTTCTGAAAGACATTACAAACTGTATCACATCAAATGTGTATTTACACGCATTAATGGTTTAATGTTGTTTATTCTGTATATATTTTGTGTCTATTCACTGCATTAGCTTACATGTAATTTCTGTTTTGATTATATTTGTTAAACGACATACAGTGACGTCAGTTTTGTGTAAACAACTCATAAACCTATGCTTGTATTTTGTTTCTAATTCCCTCACTACAATGTCCTGTCATTGATTTCTATATAGCTTGCTGAGCACTAAACACGCTCACTGCTAGTGGTCTGGTCAGTAGCAGGGGGTGGAATTAGATCGTTGTCAGTTGTCAGTGGATTTAGCTTGATGTCAGTTGTCAGTGCATTTGGCATGATGTCAGTAGTTAGTGCATTTGGCATGATGTCAGTAGCAGGGGCGAAGTGAGCTTGATGTCAATATGAAGGGGATTTAGCGTGATTGTCAGTAGGCTATGATGGAATTAACTCCGTGATACGTAGGCAGCGGTAAAGTGAATTGCGATATTAGGCTACAAAAGAAGATGCAAGTAAATTCAAGTAAATCCCAATTTCTGACCCAGCGCTCCATTGGGCAGAAGTAGAGTTAGCACAAGCCTCAACCGACTTCACTTTCCCCGACTTGAGCTGGGTACCCCACTAGAGCTGGGCGGACTCTGTGAACAACCAACAGACACGAATCCAAAAACCGAACCCAAAATTGTCAGGGTTGGCAACTGTGAGTCCATGTCAGCAGCCAGAACCTCGCCCTACCCTCCCCCACCCCACTCCCTTAACCCGCTGCAGTCGGTTGGAAGTCCACACGACATAGCAGGCAAACATAGTCCAAATCAAAGGATTTTTTGTTTTGATTCGTTTTGTTTGATAATCTGATGAAATGGAAAAATATTATCAATTGACTGTCTTGGCGTGAATTGGACTTGAACTCGCACCAATGAACAAACGTCACTTAATAACCTATAGCTTTAACTAGCCAATGTGATTTAATCCTCTTGTGTATTGCCTGCGTCCATAATTGTGAACAACTGATAAAAAACAATGCCTTGATCCATCCTAATCGATATTGTAACATATCGGTGTGTAATTACAGTTGCGTGTTATATGTATCATGTATGTAATAGATCTGTACATTACGACATTGAAACATAGCTCATACAACAAAACCAGTGCTGTAGATTAACTGAAGATGCGGAGTTGGGGGAGAGAGATGGTGGGGCATTAAATGGTATGAATTATTGATGAATGGAATATGGGGGTCGCAGTCCTGGTATTCAGTGCGAATGGGGAGAAAGTGGGGGGGGGGGGGAGGGGGGTGTTTTTTGTTGGCCTGGTGGAACAAAGCATCGCATTAGGACTTTTTTGCTGTTCTTGGTTCATATAATGTTATTTTAGCAGAGGATATGTGTACGGCTTGCTGATATCCCTGTTGATGTCACTGTTGATACCATTGTTTATACGTGTGTTTTTAGCCACTGCTAATTTGTTGATGTCCCTGTTGATACCATTGTTGATACGTGTGTTTTTATCCACTGCTGACTCGTTGATGTCCCTGTTGATCATTATTGAAACGCGGTTTTTTAGCCAATGCTGATACGCATTTTGATGCCACTAAATGCCTTTGTTGCTACCCCATGCACATTTAGATACCCTTGTTGGAACCCTGTTGATACCCTTGTTGTTACACCCCCCCCCCGTTAATAACCCTGTTGAAACTAGTGTTGTTACCCCTGTTGATATGCCTGTTGTTAGCCTTTTTTTCCTGTATCTCTCAGCGTGAGTGCATGTGAGTCCACATTGGTCAGGCCGGCTATTCTGTGTAAATTCAATGTCTTGATTGCGGGGAATCATTGTTATGGTACCTCATGTTACTATCCCCGTTGATGCCCGTGTTGTTAACATATTTGATACCTCTGTCATTATCTATGTTATGCAATCTGTCGAATACCCTATAGTTACCTGTGATTTTCTCATGTCTATTTCAGCGTGAGTGCATTAGCGTCCACATCGGTCAGGCCGGCGTGCAGATTGGCAACTCGTGCTGGGAGCTGTACTGTCTGGAACATGGCATACAGGTAGATAAGGCGGTTATACGTCACGTGGTATACAGGTTAGGGGGGTGTTACGTCAAGTGGTATGCAGGTAGGGGGTGTTACGTAACATACAGGTAGGGGGAGGTGTTCTACGTCACATGGCACACAGTTAGGGTGGTTCTACGTCATGTGATATGCGGGTAGGGGTTCTACGTCACAAGGTATACGGGTAGGATGTGTCTACGTCACGTTGTATACAGGTAGGGCGGTGTTACGTAACATTTAGGTAGGAAGGTCTACGTCACACATCATACAGGTAGGGGGAAGGTGGAGGTTTAGGTCACATGACGTACAGGTAGGGGGAGGTCTACGTCACATAGTATACAGGTAGGTAGGTTCTTAGTTACATGGCGTACAGAATTATTTTATTTACTAGCACTGTCGCAGATCGTTGACAGGAAATTAGCAGGCACCATCCTATATTTTGATACGTTGCTAAGATAAGAGAATATTGAGCATAACTTCTATGTGGATAGATCATTTTTACATTTCAAATAGAACCTTAAGTGATCTCTCCCTACGGACAGAACCTTACTGATCGAACATTGATCCCTCCTAAAGGACAGACCCCTATCTAATCGAACATTGATCCCCCTGAAGGACAGACCCCCATCTAATCGAACATTGACTGATCACGTGATCTCCTTCCCCAGCCGGACGGCCAGATGCCATCAGACAAGTCGTTTGGTGGAGGCGATGACTCGTTCAACACGTTCTTCAGTGAAACCGGATCCGGCAAACACGTACCGAGAGCCGTGTTTGTGGACCTGGAGCCCACGGTTGTTGGTGAGTACCCACTTGACTATTGACACGGTTGTTGTTGAGTACCCACTTGACTATTGACACGGTTGTAGGTGAGTACCCACTTGACTATTGACACGGTTGTTGAACCCACGTGATTAGTGACACGGTTGTTGGTGAGTACCCACGTGACTTGTAGCACGGTTGTTGGTGAACCCGTGTGATCAGTGGCACGGTTGTAGGTGAGTACCCACTTGACTTTTGACACGGTTGTTGTACCCATGTGATTAGTGACACGGTTGTTGGTGAGTACCCGTGTGATCAGTGGCACGGTTGTTGTACCCACGTGATCAGTGGCACGGTTGTTGTACCCACGTGACAAATAGCACGGTTAGTGACTACCCACGTGACTAGTACCACGGTTGTTGTACCCACATGATTAGTAACACGGTTGTAGGTGAGTACTCCGATAAGTAGCAATCGAGTCTACAGCTAAGTAGCTCTTATTGAATAAGCTACAAAGTCAGACAGATGTTATATCATTACATTCACGATAAAACTTAAATTTTTTGTAAAGGTGCAATAACATTACTTCAGCGTCATAATGTAGGGGGGGAGGGGTAGTGTGGACCAGTGGCGTAGCCAGGATCGTCTCAAGGGGGGGGATTCCAATTTTTACCCGGGGACGAACTTTCGATTTGCACACCCCCCTAAACTTTCGATTTGCACACCCCCCCCCTCAAACTTTCGATTTACACCCCACCCCTCATACTTTATATATCTATACCGAGGGGTCTATGGGGGGTTGTGACCCCCCCTAACCCCCCCCCCCTGCCTACGCCACTGGTGTGGACTCCATAGTTTGACACTATTCACTCAAAAGGTGGCACTAAAAAAAAACATTGCAATCTTTAATTTTAAATTTTAAAAATCTACTTTATCTAGTGATTTCAAAATATATTATACATCTTTACTTAATTTTTACTATTGTTAATTATCACTATTATCTACATAACTATAAACACTATGTGATTAGCTCTGTAAAGGAATGACTCCTAATTAAATCTTCTTGAAGAAGTTTGGAGTGATACCCTAAGTTAGAACTATGTGAGCCACTGACTTAGAGCCTATTGTTATTGATTTTTGAACAGCCATCTAATACACTAGATGTTGAATAAATTACCTCTACAAATATATTTTAGGCAAAAAAAGAAGCGTATAACACTATACAAAAATCTAATTTATTCGAATCAAACCCTGCATGTAGATTGTTTTCTGAAAACGTAAATTTAAAATGTTGCTGTGCTGTGTCCGGTAGATGAGGTGAGGAATGGGACGTACCGTCAGCTGTTTCATCCCGAGCAACTTCTCACCGGCAAGGAAGATGCCGCCAACAACTACGCCAGGGGCCACTACACCATCGGCAAGGTTTGTATTGCCCAGTTGTCTGCCTTAGTTTAATATGGTAGCTCTTTTAGGACTACGATCAGTCAGTTGTTTTGTTAGAGGCTTCTTGTTTAGACAATACCAGTAGGGTGCTGGGCCATTAACACTGTGTCTATTTAGTTTCTGTATCCTATGTTGACCAACTAAGTTTGGAAATATTCTTGTTGAATTGCCAACAGGAAAAAGTTGATCAAAAGTTCAGTAAATGTTCGTTCGTGATTTTTTGAAGAAATAAAATCGACTCTCATGAACAGGACTAAGTTGACATCGAATAGACCTATTTTATACTCTTGCTGATGATGGAACTAAACAGGTGTCCGGTCAAAAACCCCCTGGACAAAAACCCCCCGCGACATAAACCCCCTGGACAAAAACCCCCCGCGATATAAACCCCCCGGATAATAACCCCCGGGCTGAGGTTTATATAAAGAAAAAATAACGATGATGTGAACCAAGAAATTTTTAAAAAATTACATTAAATTAATTTAATTTTTTTACGACTAAGAAAATAGTTTCTACCTAAAAAAATGCTTTTCGAAATCAAGGAGTGACCTTAGTTGTATTTGATCAAAGATCGGGCACCGACAACACCTTAGATATAGGTCATCCACATGTGGGAGCCGTGCGGATCAAAGCAACACATTCTTAACAATTCAAAAGATGTGAGGGATTCACCGGCGGAAGCTTGGTTCATCTCCACCTTGGCATACAGAACCATGGTATAAATATAAAATCAAATTTATTTCTCGACAAATCGTATATTTTCTGAAATGGAGTTTGTTCAATCCAATAAAGGAAATTTAAAGGTGATTTTTGAAGGCTATGTTTATGTCAAGCAAAAAGATCTGGCGAACGGCGTTGTGTCATTTGAGTGTTCCAAAAGACGCAACAAGGCAGAATGCAAAGCAAAAATAAAGATTCATGGTGAACAGCTTGTTGGACGATGTAATGAACATTCGCATGGACCAGATCCATCTGGTTTATGGATGGTACATTCAAAACAGCTCCTGCATTGTTTTCACAACTGTACACAGTCCATGCATTGGTCAATGGACGCACTGTTCCATGTGTTTATGCCTTGCTTCAAAACAAAACACAGGAAACATACACAGCACTCTTACAGCAGCTAACGGTCTTAAACACAAACCTGCAACCAATTTCTATTATGATTGACTTTGAAATGGCTGTGATAAAAAGTGTTGAAAGGGTATTTCCAGAGTGTGAGGTAAAAGGATGTTTCTTCCATCTTAGCCAAAATATATACAGAAAAATTCAGAACTCTGGCCTTCAACAACTCTACCAAGTTGATAGTGAATTTGCTCTCTAGCTCAGAATGCTACCTGCGTTAGCCTTTGTTCCCATCGAACACATGAGTTATGCCTTTGAAAAATTATTGGAAATTTTCCCCCAAGAAGCAATGCCGATTGCAGACTACTTTGAGGACTACTATATTGGCAGACCACAACGTCGAGGTCGAAGACAACCTATGTTTCCACTTGACACGTGGAACATGCACACACGTGCAGAAGACCATATGCCAAAAACAAACAACTCAGTTGAAGGCTGGCACAGAAGTTTTCAGTCGCATATGGGATGTTGCCACCCAAATATTTGGAAATTTATTGACTTTATTAAAAAGGAACAATCTCTCCAAGACAGAAAAAAAAATATATTGATAGCAGCTCTCGAATTTTAACTGTTGTTAAAAATTTTAATGAGTCCACCATTATTGAGTATTTGCGAGGCATCGCTCACAATCTGTCTTTTTAAAGTTATAATAAAAATAAAAGTTTTTTCCTAATGTTTGTTTTGTATTTTTATATTAATTTTGTTTCTCGTCATCTTTGGTTTTTCCTTATATAAACCTCCATTGGGGGGGGGGGGGGGGGTTTGTCCAGGGGGTTTATATCGCGGGGGGTTTTTGTCCAGGGGGTTTATATCGCGGGGGGTTTGTGTCCAGGGGGTTTATGTCGCAGGGGATTTTGTCCAGGGGGTTTATGTCGGGGGGTTTATGTCCAGGGGGTTTATGTCCAGGGGGTTTTTGACCGGGAGCCAACTAAACAAAACTTTACAGATTTTCAGTTAGAATTTTGACGTACTCAAATTGTATGAAACTGTTTCATCAAAATGTAACAAAAATTTTAATTTTATACCTGCTGATTCATCAGAATCTAACACTAAATGTATATCTATGATATGTCTGTGGGTAGATTCATCAGAATCGAATACTATATGTGTGTCTATGCTGACTATATAGACATCTTTTCAGAATCTAAAACTAAATGTATATCTATCCTGACTCTGAAGACATCGTTTCATAAGAATCTAACACTATAAGTATATCTATGATGTGTCTGTAGACATCGTTTTATCAGAATCTAACACTAAATGTTTATCTATGCTGATTCTGTAGGAGATCGTGGACCTGGTCCAGGACAAGATCAGGAAACTGGCAGAGATGTGCACGGGACTGCAGGGTTTCTTGTTGTTCCACAGTTTTGGTGGGGGCACGGGTTCAGGGTTCACCTCCCTGCTCATGGAGAAACTCAGTGTGGACTACGGGAAGAAATCGAAACTCGAATTTTCTATCTACCCAGCGCCGCAGGTAAAGTATATTTACAATAGAATTAAAAATTGGAAATATTTTTTGTCTCAATTTGAGGAAGTAACTGGAATTAAGGTAAATATACTCGCTACTGTTAGTTTTTGTTTTTTTTTAAATTAATTTTCTATCGTTAAAATTTAAAAATAAAGATTTTTACTTATGACATTTAAATGCTAATCTCTAAATAAAATTCTCTAAATATTAAACCCAATAGTAGGTTGAAAGAAACTAAAAGTAAGAGAAAATTAATTAAAGAAAAAAGATTTTTTAATCATTTCATGTGCGCTAAGTTTCACTGTAGGCCTACTAATAAATCCTCCACTTCAGTAATAAAGGAACAAATAACCAAGCTATTACCAAGCATTAGTTCTTAACACATGAACTTAAATGTGTCGAGCCCAGAAACAAGACCCCCCCCCCCCCCGCGACCCACATCTTGTATATCACCTGTCATGACCCTTGACCCCTGCAGGTGTCCACTGCTGTGGTCGAACCCTACAACTCCATCCTCACCACCCACACCACACTGGAACACTCGGACTGCGCCTTCATGGTTGACAACGAGGCCATCTACGACATCTGCCGGCGTAACCTTGACATTGGGAGGCCGTCGTACACCAACCTGAACCGCCTGATTGGTCAGATCGTGTCGTCCATCACCGCGTCACTGAGGTTTGATGGTGCCCTCAACGTTGACCTCACGGAGTTCCAAGTAATTTGTTGTCATTTGATCACTGAGATAGTAGAAGTTTTATTTCGTTGATTAGAAAAACCTTATTGAAAAGGTGTTTTTGTAGTCAATTATCTACAAAGACTACACATATTATATATGAAACTTAGGTTTCTGCATATATTTGATAGATGACCCTTAGATTTTGCATACATTTGATAGATGACCCTTAGGTTTTTTCATACATTTAATTGATGACCCTTTGGTTTCTGCATATATTTGATAGATGACCCTTAGGTATCTGAACATATTATATAACACTAAATTAAAATACTTTATCATCTACTCATAATACTGTTATATTGGTAACACACCCATTTTGAAATTTTAAAAAAGTTTATGATTTCACACTAGACAAGACATTAGAAATAACGACAACGTTTTACCTCCCAGACCAATATGCCCTAATAACGTTTCTCCCTCCCCAGACCAACCTGGTGCCCTAACATTTCTCCCTCCCTCCCCAGACCAACCTTGTGCCCTAACATTTCTCCCTCCCTCCCTAGACCAACCTTGTGCCCTAACATTTCTCCCTCCCTCCCTAGACCAACCTTGTGCCCTAACATTTCTCCCTCCCTCCCTAGACCAACCTTGTGCCCTAACATTTCTCCCTCCCTCCCTAGACCAACCTTGTGCCCTAACATTTCTCCCTCCCTCCCTAGACCAACCTTGTGCCCTAACATTTCTCCCTCCCTCCCTAGACCAACCTTGTGCCCTAACATTTCTCCCTCCCTCCCTAGACCAACCTTGTGCCCTAACATTTCTCCCTCCCTAGACCAACCTTGTGCCCTAACATTTCTCCCTCCCTCCCTAGACCAACCTTGTGCCCTAACATTTCTCCCTCCCTCCCTAGACCAACCTTGTGCCCTAACGACATTTCTCCCTCCCTCCCCAGACCAACCTTGTGCCCTAACATTTCTCCCTCCCTCCCTAGACCAAGGTGCCCTAACGACGTTTCTCCCTCCCCCAGACCAACCTTGTGCCCTAACGACATTTCTCCCTCCCTCCCCAGACCAACCTTGTGCCCTAACATTTCTCCCTCCCTCCCTAGACCAAGGTGCCCTAACGACGTTTCTCCCTCCCCCAGACCAACCTTGTGCCCTAACGACATTTCTCCCTCCCTCCCCAGACCAACCTGGTGCCCTAACGAAATTTCTCCCTCCCTCCCCAGACCAACCTTGTGCCCTAATGACGTTTCTCCCTCCCCAGACCAACCTGGTGCCCTAACGAAATTTCTCCCTCCCTCCCCAGACCAACCTTGTGCCCTAATGACGTTTCTCCCTCCCCAGACCAACCTGGCGCCCTAACATTTCTCCCTCCCTCCCCAGACCAACCTGGTGCCCTAACAAAATTTCTCCCTCCCCAGACTAACCTGGTGCCCTACCCGAGGATCCACTTCCCCCTGGCTACCTACGCGCCGGTCATCTCGTCAGACAAAGCGTGCCACGAGCAGCTAACAGTGGCCGAGATCACCAACGCTTGCTTTGAGCCGGCCAACCAGATGGTCAAGTGTAACCCTATGCAAGGTGTGTACGACAACCGATGTAGACAGCTACATGAGTGTTTGGATAAAAATGGACTCCCATCCCATAACCTGCATCACAGTGAACTGTACTGTACAGTACAGCATTAAATCCAAACTCCTGAGCACCCTCCCCCCCCCCCCCCAAAAAAAAAACAGGACTGAGTTTCTTTCAGACATCTCTTCGGGTGGACACAACCCTCCCTCTCCCGAAAAAATTAGAAAAATATATAATCTATATAGAAAATATATATTATCAGTGTCCCCACTCCCCCCTCCCCTCTGAAATTTTAGTTCGCCCCAACCCCTGGAGAAAAAAAAGTCTCAAAGAAACACTAAGCCCGACCTGTACTCTCTTACCTTAAAAACGAGCCCCCACCCTACTTAACATCCCCCCCTTCGCCCCCCCCCCCCCTCCATTTAACAGTTAAAAAATTCAAATGCTTGACTGTTCTTGTGTAGGCAAATACATGGCCTGCTGTCTGCTGTACAGAGGAGATGTGGTTCCTAAAGATGTCAACGTTGCCATAGCAACCATCAAAACAAAGCGGACCATTCAGTTTGTCGACTGGTGCCCGACAGGATTCAAGGTACATCTATGGTTTTCCCCATCAACTTTAACGTCTTCTTTCTTAATTTACGATACTGAAGAGGATTAATTTATGATACTGAAGAGAATATCCCCCAGAGCAATTAAGTATCACGTGTCAACATGATACGCGCCACGTGACCATGTTTGTTGACTCAAATTTCAGTCTGCTTTTCTGTCTGGATTTGCCCTATAGCCTTCGTCCACCAAATAACAACTTGTAACTTCTGCAAGGCTGTAGTTTTTATATCTTGTAGTTTTCTCTCCTAGATGAGTTGTTTTCCCCAGCAAACAGTGCTGATCTGCCCTCGTAACTCGGGACGTTTGGAGTTATGAGTCAATCGTACTCCAAAAAAACCGCCTCTCCAGAGTTAGGTCCATTGTTAGGATTATTAGTGTACGGGGTGATCCCGTACTAATTTTTAAAAATTTAGGTTGAGGATAATATTTTATAAGGGTTGTCGACATTGGGGGGGGGGGGGGGGATGTTGGGGTTGGGGTCGATTTCATGATCTATTATGTTATATTTGGTTGGTATAGAGAAATGGTGTGTGTCATAGTGCTTGATTTTCCTTATGTTTGAAAACTTTCTGCTTTTGGAATTGTTGGGTCAATACAATTGTTGGGGAGGGTTATATGAGAGATGTTATATAATATTACGGGTGGTAGTGTATGGAGATGCTATATGTCATATGGAGTAGATGTGGGTTATAATACGCACCATTTTCTATACAGTCATATAGAGTAGATGTGGGTTATATGCACCATTCTCTATGTCTATCACAGGTCGGCATCAACTACCAGCCCCCCACTGTGGTCCCTGGAGGGGACCTGGCCAAGGTGCAGCGCGCTGTTTGCATGCTGAGTAACACAACCGCCGTGGCTGAAGCCTGGGCTAGACTGGACCACAAGTTTGACCTGATGTACGCCAAGCGAGCTTTCGTCCACTGGTCAGTCGTTATTTTTTTTATTCATATTTTTTAAATATTAATTCTTTTTGTGAAATATTTTCATATATATATATATATATATATATATATATATATATATATATATATATATATATATATATATATATATATATATATATATATATATAAGAGGGATTTTTGCAACAGGTATGTGGGCGAGGGCATGGAGGAGGGCGAGTTCGCCGAGGCTCGCGAGGACTTGGCTGCTCTCGAGAAAGATTACGAAGAGGTGGGTGTCGACTCCATAGGCGAGAACGCCGAAGACGGTGAAGGGGGCGACGACTTTTAACACCCACCCTGCGTGTCAGATACACCTGTAGCAGTATTTTGATGTGACACTAGCCGGGGACTAGACAAATCAAAGATGTAAGAACGACAACTAGAGTCTAGGGGGAGTAACTCGGCTGATTGGTGTGAAATTTATAATCTACCTGTGTCGTTTAAACATTTTTTAAACGAGATTTTCAATGATAATAATGATTAATATATGGAAATAATAATTTTGATCGTATTTTTTTATATTAAAATCGATGTTAAATCCTTAATTAAAAGATTAATTTCCCAGCATACTGTTAGGAAAAGCAGTGAAGCCCTCTCTATGCCATAAGAATAGTTTTTTTTTTGTCCCTCTTTATTGGCAGCACAGGTTTTATTTGGTCAAAATTCCGCTAAAGAGAACTGAAACTAGTTCACGTTCTGCAGTATTTCGCCAGAAAAATCATTTCATCTTTCATGTCAAAAATTTTTTATAACAACATTTTGTGATCATTTTGTACTTGCCTTGAGATGTGTTCATTTTTTTAAAAAATAAATCAACATAGAAACACAGCGTTTTTATTTGTATGTCTGTGTGTATGTCATATAATCATAGTACCAATGTACTTTCATAGCGCAGTATTTCTTTCATCATTTATATAGAAAATACATACTTTAACCTGTGTCCGCCCATAGAAAAAGTCTGAAAGAAACACTGTTTATAGCGTTTCGTTCTTAAATACCCAGAACTATCTGATGTGTTAAGCAACTAAAGAACATTAAAATAAGATAAAATAAACAATATAGTTTTTTTTAATAAATAAATACAAATTAAAACATCGATTTAAAAACTTGGGTATCAAGTTTATTCTTAATTTTGACAACAAAATGTATTGTAAAAATAAAAATATGTATTAAAGATCTGAAGACGAGTCTAAAACCTTTTTAGATTAAAGCGCATTCTGGGTTTTAGCACATGTTCCGCCACTTTGTGCTTCACATTTCACATTTATACAACTCAAACACACGAAATAAAATAAGCAATTCTTTTAAGAACCTTTTTTTAAGTCACAAAGGTAAAAAGATATTCACAAAAGAAAAATTAAAATATACATAGTTCGATGATCCTGCTAACGATATGTATACAGCCATTGAATTCACGAATTATCTGCCTACTTTTTTAAGTCGTTTACATAAATTCTAAAAAAAAAAAAATCAGAATAAGATAATTATTTTTAGTACTATTTTATCAAACCACAAACGAATTTTTTTTTTTTTATAAAACCAAATTCCTTTGAAATAAATGAAATTCCTATAATTAAATGAATATGGCTTATGAATTCACCCACTGATCTGGCCACTTTTTGAGTCATTCGGGCAGTAAAGGACATGTTGCTCAAACTCTGGCCCGATGCGAAACAGTCCTTGACACGACGAGCAGGGCAAACAGCCGTGTATGTTCTTCAGATGGCGCTTCACCTTACCCTTCTGTGTGAAAGTCGTGTCGCAGATCGGGCACATGAACTTCTGACCAGTGTGATGCAGTTTGTGGTGGTTCAGACCGGAAATGCTCAAGAATCCCTTCCCGCACACCCGGCACTGGAACGGCTTCTCCTCCGCGCCGTGGATCTCAGCAACATGCTTGCTCAGCAGAGCGGCGGGCAAGACAACTCTGCAGTGTGGGCACGTGTGGTTGCCTGCACGTGCCGAGCTGCTGTAGAGCCTCGCGCGCTCGCCGCCCCGTGCCTGGTTCCGGGATAAGCTAGAAGCTGCAAAAGGTGAAAAAGTCGATTCATGAATTGTTTCTTCCGAGCCTCGAGAGTAAATCTCTGTGGAATAAAAGGGTTTGCAGACTGTCAAGTATGCACTCATCGTTTAGAACAAGAAATAATTACACACGTTGTCTAAACAAGCAAAATCATGAAGCTGTGTCAAAAGCCTAATATATTATATATGATGATTCTCTCCATACAAAATGTGTTCGTAACGGGAACCTCTTCTATTTTGCTTGGTAAAAAGCAGGCTTAAAAATAAAGGAAATGTATTTCTTGGTGAAGATTTTTTTTTTTAATTTTAAAAAATAAAAACAATCTATAAAAAAAATAATAGCACTGACAATAGCAGTATAGAATTTTTTCAAGAACATTTTTTAAAAAGAATGGATTACAAATTAATTAATATTAATATTTAAAACAGTCTTAGTCTTAGTGTTTTCAATAGCAATAACTTTCTGCATATGAAAATGAAAAAAATTCTGTCTAAACACAATGGAGGACGTGCTGGTTGTACTCCTGTCCCAGCTTGAATATCCCCGAACACGTGATACACTGGGCCACCTCGTGCACCTTCTTCAGGTGGGTCCTGACGGAGCTCTTCTGCGACAGCCGCGAGCTGCAGACGGGACACGGGTAGGACCTGCCCTCGTGTGCGTGCATGTGGTACAGCAGGCCCATGGACGTATGGTAGCCCTTGCCGCATATGCTGCAGACGAACGGCAAGCCTCCGGGGTCTTGCCCGGCTGGGCTGAAGGCTTCAGGGTTGACCGGGTGGTGTTTTTTCCTGTGGGCGGAGAGTGCTGTGAGGCTGGGAGATTTAATGGGGCATTGTGAACATTGGAACCAGGGTCCAGCAGGGCGTTTAGGTTTGGTTTGCTTAGGGCGAACAGGTGGTTCTTCCATTGTTTGGGGGGATGAACTGCACGACTGGGCCCAATTTGATAATCCTGAAGAAAGAAAAATGAATTAACCTGACTTTTTGTTTTTACACAATAAAATTTGAAATATTACTAGCCGTTTTTAAACGAAGTTCTTTTTTTTTTCCTTTTTTTTTTCTTTGGTATTCATTATAGTATTATAGGCCTACATGATGCAGTTCTAGATTAAAAACAAATACTTGAAATACAAAAATTAAGTAGGCCTACTTAACAAATGTCCACACACATAACACACATTGAACAACAAAAAGTCTATCTGCTTGGAGTGCAAGACAATATATGCTGATTGTACGAAGGTCCGATTTTAAAGACGAGGGAACAGTTGTTGCACTGCGCCGAATGATGCACGTTCTTCAAATGCTTCTTGATGGTAAACTTCTGCGTGAACTTGGAATCACACACCGGACAGCTGAACGTCTTCCCTTTGTGGGCCTGCATGTGGTGGTTCAGCCCCATCTGGGTGTGGTAGCCCCTCCCACACAGGGAGCAGATGAACGGCAGCTGGTGGCCGTGAGCCTGAGACAGGTGCGACTTGAGTAGCTGTTGGTGCGGCAACACCTGCTCACAGTACTGGCACTGGACAGGTGCTGGAGAGAACTGAACGGGGTAGGGCATGTTAGAGTCGGGGGTGTACGGGGCTAGTGGTGCCTCTGAAGATACACTGGGGTATGGAGCACTAAAGGGTAACATTCTGTTCTGGCGCTGGGAGGAGGATTCTGAAAATAACAAGATACTTTTTTGTAGAGTTATACATCTAGTTATATGACATTCCAGCTTAGAGACAATGTTTTTACTACAGTTCTTTCGTGTTAATTTGAAAGTTATTCGATTTCTTCATGGACTGAGAACTTCCAACAGATTGTAGATTTTGTCTTGGCGAACAATTTGAAACTTTCACTTGTATATAAATACAAATTATTCTGCCATAACTTATTAAATGCTACAGTGACTGACAAAATAGTATACAGTATTACACTAAATAACAGGTGCTTGATAAAATACAGATACACGCTTGATAAAATTGTGTTGCTAAATGTTAATTCTTCTTCTGTTGCCTTGCATCTGCTGATGGAAGCTGTTGACCCTGATCCTCGTGAGTTAGACAGACGTTTTTTTGTCAAGAAATTTTACCAGGCTTTCAACGATAAGCTCATTTACAAAAAGTAATGGTGTATAATCAGTCCGGTTATAATAAATCATTATTTTAAAAAGCAGTTGTAACTGATCAGTGTTTTCTTTTATTTTATTATCCGAAATTAAATTTTTTTTAAATTATTTTTCAAATTACTAAATGTTGAATGTATTGGGAAAAGTCAGCTACCACTAACTTACTACCAATACCAAGAACTAATCTCATTTAAATTTTGTTATAAAAGTACGATCAGTAATTTCCTCAAATTTGAAGCAAGCAAAATCGTATAATGATCATCTAAAATATTGTTCATCGTGTTTGTAGTCTTTTAATGAGTTGGATTTTTGTTTGAATCCTTAGTGCAATAAAATGTCACCAATGTATCTCACACTAAACAGTGGGATAAGTGTGAAAAAGGCTACAGTGCAGCACCACAAACTATTCAAACAATAACAGACAAATGGTTTCATTTCAAACTTTTATTTTGTAACAAGTCTACAATTAAACAAAGTAAACTTAACCAAAAATTAACATGCATCATTATAAACTTTTGCCAGTATGTTTTACTGAATTGGATTAACTGGGTAAGAAAATAAAAAAATACATAAACATGAAATTACCATATTACAGAGATATGCGATGACACCCAAAACCAAAGACTGAGAAAATAGTTTCAGAAAAACAGTAACATTTTTGTTAATTAAGGAGAACCTGTTTTAAGCAGTATGCTTGAAACAATAAAGCAAGTTAGAAATATTGAAAGTGAAAGCATAACAAATAAAACAAGTCAAAATAAATTTTAAAAATAAAAACAAGTTTTTTAAAAGTAAAATGATTCATATGATAAATGGAGTAAATGAATGTGTTAAAAGATCATTACAGTAAAATGTCATCTCTATGACAGAACCTGCATCTTAGGTATATATTTTTATTTACATGATCAGTATAAACATGATGAGTGGATGGGTGATTCTAAAGAAATAAATACAATCATCAACATGTAGGAGATGAAATCTTACCAGACACAGGTAATAAAACATGTAACTATTCTATGTATTCAAACTCACTAGCTGAATGTACCAAAACAGAGAATCACAACAGTAAATTAAATGCTAATAAATACAGTTCATATTAAAACAGATTGTGAACATTCTTCATGTGCCCTTGTAAATGATGTTTGAACTTAAATTTACAGTCACAGACCGTGCAAAGAAATTTTCTCTCTCCATGCGTGGCCATATGAAGGTGGAGGCCACTTCTGGTCTGTAAACCTTTCCCGCAGATTTTGCATTTGAAAGGCAGGAGATGGGGGTGAATGGAGGCAAGGTGGCGGTTGAACATGACGGTGGAGTACAAGACCTGCGGACAGAGCTTGCACTGGACAGGGAACCCCTCAGTGAATGAAAGGGCTGAGCTGGTGGATGCAAAGCTCTGTGTCCTATGCTCATGAGGAAATGTGTGCTGGATTCCTGGAACACAGAAAACCTTTCTAGTTATTGGTACATCAAACATCATCAACAACTACAATCCTTTTTTCCCTACAAGCTCCATTAATTTCACAAACAATTTAACATGTGGATATTATACTCGTCAATAGTATTGAAAGTAGCCATGCATCTGCCACACTGGGCTAGCTTGTGGATGCATCTCATGTGTTTTTTAAGATGATGTTTTAATTTGAACCTTGCCTCACAGATGCCACATATAAACTGTCTACCACGGTGGTTTCTCATATGAAGATGAAAGCTATTTCTAGTGGGGAAATATTTCTGGCAGATATCACAAGAGTATGGCATGGCTTCTGTATGATATTCACACATGTGTAAATGGTATAATTTAACTGACGGTAGTCCCAGTGAACATATATGACACCAAATCATTTGATTCATAGACTCACTAGTGGATGCTTCTGTAAAATTATGGGTGGAATTCTGGATCTGTACTTGATTAACTTTTCTCGACTCTGAAAGGAAATGAGTTCAACGAAATTGATAGCATCTTTATAGATGATGCCTTGAGTGCTAACAAGGAAGATATACATCTACTTTTGCAATCTGTCTGCCTGTAGGTCTAGCTTACATAGGGAATACAGCTTTTTTCTTTAATTAAACAAGTTTAAACATTAAGGCTGCAAGAAGCCAAATGCTGGTTGTAGACGTTGACATCGTGAAATGTACTGAGACATCGGCCACATTGGCTAAGATGGTGGATCCTTTTTGTGTGCTCCTGAAGGTGATGTTTTCGTTTGAATCTTGAGTCGCATATATTACATAAAAACATCCTCCCAGAGTGTGCCTGCATGTGAATCTGATGGCCAGTTTTCGTTTGGAAACCTTTTTGACAGAGTGTACAGAAGAAGGGCAGGTGCTCAGGGTGGGTGTCTGACAAATGACGATGATAGAATTTCACTGATGGGAAGCTTTGAGGGCAGTGTATGCACCACACAGGCTCAACATGTGTAGGCAAACATTTGGGTCCTGTCACTGCAGGGGGTGCAACTCTATGCTTCACTGGGTACTTCCTTCTCCTTTCTGAAACAATGCAATTAATTCTATGTCACTCTTTCAATAGAAAATCATCATCAAATCAATGAATGCACAAAACAAGAAAAACATGTCTATGAATTTGATTAACATTGGGCTAAATGTCTATTGTAGTCTTGAATGTCTTTAAAAGCTGCCAAGCACTTTCCACACATGGAAAGTTTATGAATCCTCTTTAAGTGTGTCTTCAGATGATGCTTTAGCTTGAATTTAAAATCACAATAAGAGCATAGAAATGTTCTTCCATCATGAGACTGCATGTGTGTCTGCTGGCCAGTTTTTGTTTGGAATCCCTTTCCACATGTTGTACACCTGAATGGTAAGGTCTCAGGATGCTGGTCAGAGAGATGTCTGTGATAGAGCTTCAGTGAGGACAACTGTTGAGGGCACACACTGCATTGTACGGCTTCATTAGATACATATTGTGGAGGAGGTATGGTGGGCATGGAAATGGGTGGATGAGGTGAGCTAAATTCTGGATTTCTCTGTCTTTGAGTTGAGGAACTTGGCCCTGAAACAAGTGATTAAATGAAAAATTTCAGCAAACATTTTTACAATTTTAACAGAAAATGACTTGTGAACTAGGTTTGGGACTGAAAAGCATTAGACCTGCACATTGCTAAATGTCTGTTGTATAACTGGACATCATCAAAAGTACTCAAACATTTAGCACACAGAATTAAGTTATGGATTCTGTTTAGATGCGCTTTGAGATGATGCTTCAGCTTGAACTTCATAGTGCAGTGTTTGCAAGAGAACAATCTTCCAGCATGGGCCTGCAGGTGGAATCTCAAGCTTGCATCACTGAGGCAGCCTTTGCCACAGAGCGAGCAACAAAAGGGCAGCATGTGACCATGTTCTAGAGAGATGTGCCTCTTGTAGTTGCTGATGTAAACTTCCTGATGGCAGTATTCACATTCCCTGGTAGCCGCAGAAGGGGCTTGTGGAAACGTGGAACACAGTGAAAGTTTGTGTGGGGCTGGGCTTCCAGAATAGCTCGCCCTTTGATTCACTTGTGTCCTTGTGTGTGTGTTTAAATCTCGATCAAATAAATCGCCTTGGCTCAAACTGGTGTTGAATTCTGAAAAAAAAATTAATTACCTATTTTTAAAGATTTTTAGGGCGAAGTATGCTAAATGTACTTTTTATTTCAATAATAAGCTCCCATCAGCAGTTCTCCAGTGTGCATTTAGTTACAATGGAGTACATGCTGATTGTACTCATCTCCTATTCCAAATACTCCAGAACACACCATGCACTGAGCCAATTTGTGAACTCCTTTCAGGTGCGTTTTTAAATGTACTTTTTGGTTGAATTTACAATCACAAATAGAGCACATAAATTTTCTTCCTGCGTGTGCTTGCATGTGAAGGTTGAACCCTGTTGATGACAAAAATCCTTTGTGGCACACAGTACAGGAGTATGGCTTATCCACAGTGTGAAATTTAGCTATGTGGTTTCTTAATGAGTTCTTAGGTAAGATGTTTGGACAATGGGGGCACTCAACATTAGTGTTGTCCATGGCTGCATAGTCTGGAGGTAAATCCATTGTATCATAAGAAAAGCGGTGGGCAGATAAGTTGACACTATTTTTCTTAAGTCCAGGTTCATGGATATGATATCCTGCAACAAACAAAAACATTTCAAGCCTTTCCTATAAACTGAATGCAGGTACTGACTGAATAGCCATGGAATGATGAGTCAGAAGATGCCATAGTAATATTGGAAAATGTGTCCTACTTTGATATTTATACACGTATGCTCAAGTCCAAATGATCATGTTGCAATAGGCCATTTAAATTACTAAAGTAACTTTATACATAAAACAAACATATTTTTAAAATAATTATGCTATTGTTACATTACATCTTTCTAAAATAATATTTTTTAAACATTAATAGCCCTTGTGAAAAAAAATTTTTTGTAAAAAAAAATTTAATACAATTAAACAGGAAAAAGCACATTAGATTTCTTAATGATTCTGAATTAAATGTTTATTAAATTCATCGCCAAGATTAAATAGCAATGAACAAGTGGGACACTGTGCTAGCTTGTGGACTTTGTTGAGATGACACTTGAGGTGGGCTTTCTGATTGAACTTGGAGTCACAGATAGAACAAATGAATTTCCTTCCTTCGTGAGCCAGTGTATGATGATTTAGACCAGACACGCTGAGAAAACCTTTCCCACAAAGTGAACACTGGAAAGGCATAGTCTCACTGTGAAACTGTGAGATGTGAGCCTTGAGTGCATTAGGTGGTAACTTCTCTTGGCACTGGTAGCAAGAGACTAAAGCACTAGGCTGATTGGGAGCTGCACTAAAACCAGCTGAATATCTTCGTCCAGCTGGGCTCATGAGCTCATTACTTGATGGTGAGACAGAGGAGCTTCCTTGTGCCTGAGGCCATTTCCTTCTTACAGTCTTCCCTGAAAAAACAAAATAATGCACTGTTCATTATGGTAGTTCCCCCATGTGACACACAAATCCCTACTTGTTCTTTTAAACTATTGGCATGAACATGAGTATGGTTAACACAAAGCAGCTGGGTTAAATCAATTTTGTTTGAATGTTTGTTCTAGATCACTGTTTGCACACTGCAAGACGTGTTGGTTAAATTCTGGTCCTGTGGGAAATATGCCGGAGCAGGTGGAACAAGGAGTGCAGCCATGGATGTTCTGCAGGTGTCTTTTGATTTTGCCTTTCTGAGTGAAGCTGGAATCACAAATGGGACACATGAACTTTTTCCCTAGGTGTCTCTCTTGATGAAGACTAAGACCCGTTGAACTGAAAAATCCACGCCCACATTGGTCACACTGAAATATTTTTCTTTGACCATGGAACTCTTCTAAATGTTTTTTCAGCAGAACTGCAGGCATATCTATTTTACACTTAGGACAATGGCTATTCAGTAATGGATCAATATTTACTCTTTCCTCTTGCATATTCTGTTCAGGCATTGAAGTATGATGGCTTTGGTAACAAGATGAATAAGTGGTGTCAATTAATTTTTGTTGGCTTTTGCTGACAGCAGCTTTTCTATTATATTCTGTGGAAAAAAAGGTAAGCAAAACATTCAAGTGCCACACAATCTAGTATTAACGTTAGTGCATTTTTAAACAATGCATATGCTAGCTTTTCATTTTTCATGTAGGTTCGACACAGGACATCAACAGGTTGAAAAGAAATAACCTTTTTCAAAAGTAAAAAAAATATTACAAAAATACAAAGAGTTATTTGAAGTAAAAATAGTAGTAAAAATAGTTCAGGGAGGTATTTTTCCAACATATTCTTTTATGATTCTTTGTCAGTATACAACATACAAAATGATTTTTATCTCCTAAATTAAAGACAAAATTACTAACATACAGGGATGAGCTATGTACATATACTATGTTGTAACAATAGTTATTGTCTAAACCAGACAGTTTTAACCTGCTAACACAAGTGTCTACACAAATCAAAGGCTTACTATATATAATACTTTGTGTGAGCTATTTTCTTATTGGTTGTGATGGTTGCTTTTATCATATACGATTGCATAAACTAGTGTCAAGAAATAGTATCTGTTAACTGCTTGTACAGAATAGCAAAACAACATATTCTAAGGATTGTATAGTTTCTTATGAACTGCCACAATGCAAAACATGTTGATTATAAGCTTCACCAATTCTTATTATTTCCCCACAATTAGAGCACTGTGACAATTTGTGCACAGATTTCATGTGTGTTTTGATAGTGCCCTTTCTTGTAAATTTAGCGTCACAGATTGGACATAAAAATGTCTTTCCTTCATGAACCTCCATATGATGTTTGAGCCCAGTGGAAGTACTGTAAGCTTTCCCACATAGTGTACAACTATACGGCACAGGCTGCTGATGCTGGTGTCGTATGTGGGCAGTCAGAGAGAAAAAATCTTGAAAACACACAGAACTGTGGCACAGATGGCATTGTATGTTCTGATTGGGAGTGGATCCTGTCTGATTGCTCAAGTGACCTCCTCTCTGTAAATGGAATTCTGAATGAGGATTGGATGAGGAGCCCTGCCATTTAGTTTCACTTCTATTCCGGTTCTCTGAAATAAAAATATAAACTATATCTTTCTGGGTTTTTTCTTTGGCTTGACAAGTTGAATAAAGCAATAAAAATTCTTGTTGGTTGCTGGAAAACTTGTTAGATCTACCATTAACAACCAATGAGAATTAAATTAATCATATATATGATACAGAGTTAACATTTGAAGTATTGGGTTGACAGAATAAGATATGTTGGTTGAATTCTGGTCCAATTTTGAAGACTAGAGAACATGTGTTGCATCTTGATGACATGTGGACATTTTTTAAATGTTTTATGACAGAATATTTCTGTGTGAACTTGGAATCACAAACTGGACAGCTAAAAGTTTGTCCTTTATGTCTTTGC